TGCATTTACCTCTGGCCACCAACATGTGAGCCTTGCCAAGGACTTCGTTTTCTCAACACCTAAATGACCACTATGAAGATTTTCAAGAACAGATTTACGCAATGAAGGATGAATAACAACACGATCATTTAAACACAGAATACCATCAGGTGTAGTGGATAGTTCATCTTGCTTTGGAAAATAGACAGGAAATCTTCGTTTCAAATTAGCAGTCCAGCCTTTTCGTATATCACTGAGTATACATTCAAAATATCTACGACTTTCTCAAATGAGATCTGAAGGTCTAACTGGTAAAGGTTGCACTAACAAACAGTCCGAAGTATTAACAGGTCTATCTTGTAATGACTGTCGAGAAATGTAGTCAATGTGTTGAATTTGTTTGGCACTTCTGTGCTAAACCGCATATTCATATGCATTCATAGCAATATTCCATCGTTGTACTATAGCAACTTAAGAACGTGCCAAGGATTTTTCAGGATGGTAAATAAACTCTAAAGCTTCATGATCAGTAACGATAATGAATTTCTTTCCGAATAAATATTTATGAAGTCTTTTAACAGCCCAAAACACGGCTAATGCTTCTCGCTGAGTCCGTGAATAACCTTGTCCAGTAACAGTGAGTTTGCGTGAAACACAAACAACTGGTCTACCTTCCTGTTCCAAAACTGTACCAATTCCCACAGGTGATGCATTAGTAATAAGCACAGAATGTACACTAGGGGAGCACGTTCGAAGAACAGCATCACTTTGAAGAAACTTTAGTAGACTACGTAAGCATGACTCTTGTTCCTCATTCCATTTGAATGAATTGGATGTCAAAATATTAAATAAACAATTTGCACAACAAGAAAAATTAGGAATAAAACGGGAATAGTATTGAAGAGCACCCACTAGTGAACGTAATTCCATAGGGTTTTTTGGAGACGTTGGATTTGTCAGTGGAATTAATCGTTTCATATCTGGTCTAAAACCATTACCATCAACTAGGTATCCAAGGCATTCAAAACTAGATACACAAAATGAACAATTATTTGAATTCACTGTAATATTCTTCTCAATTAAACGACGCAACAAAGCAATAAGTCTCTGGTCATGAACTGCCTTATTAGAACCATGAACAATGAGATCATCTTGATAGAATTCACCACCTTCAAGATCACTTACTACTTTATTCATAACTTCCTGAATTATGGCTGGAGAACAACTTAGACCAAATGGAAGAAAATTGTATTTGAACAGATCAAAAGAAGTATTAGTTGTCGTAAAAATAGATGAAGATTGACCCAAAGGAATTTGAAGATAAGCATCTTTTAGGTCAACCTTCGAGAACACTTTGGAACCATGAGGTCGATTTAGAATATCGTCGTGCACGTTTGCTTCAACAAACGGAAGTTCATTGGTAATCTATAGTCACCACAAATTCTAGGGGTCTTGCTGTCCGACTTCAATGACGTAACTATAGGAGTACCCCATGCTTTAGACTGAATTGGTTCAATTATGCTTTTCGCACACAAATCGTTCAATGTCTTATGTACTGCTTCTCGAAAACCATAGGGAAATATTCGTCTTTTAAGAAAGACCGGATCGCCCTGTACTTATAGGCTGAATTTTCATACCTTCACTGCACTTAGCACACGTAGCTATTAAATATATAAGTAAGGTATCAGAATATTCGTTGGAAACTCGGAAAGACAACTCCACTTCAAGCCTTTTCAAATTCTTTAGACCTAATATTGACAGTCCTGTCTCGCTAACTAAAAATTCACAAGGTATGTATGAAGAATTATCATCTCTTATTAGCAATTCATAACATCCTCATATGGGCAGTATGTGTCCAGTAATCCCTAATATTGATACTTCATTGGGTCTTACTACAAATTTAGGATCTAAATATTTCAAGTTCTTCAATGAAATAATGGACTCTATGCTGCCTGTGTCTACAATAAAGTCATGAAATGAACCAAGCGATGTATATAGTCGCTTTTGAATATGAGCATTACCTTTCAAAATAGTAGACAATGATAAATGATCACTAGGAACGTCCGAATTATTGGGATCTAAATTAAAAGATCTAGTACTACTTGAAGCAAAATGAACAGTAGCTTTGCATACTGACTGAATGTGTCTGTAGCGTGGTGTCGAGTCGAGATTGACTATGTACACCGCTACCAAAATACACGTGCCAAGAAAATCAGAAGGCGTAGGTTGAGCGTAACCAGATTTATTCGTTTGGCGATCTCGTGGTATCGAATGAATACCGAGATCGTGCCAAGAACGGTACAAGCGGAAGCAGGAGTACAGAATACGTGCGAACAGCAGCAAAAACCGCGAAACAATAATGGAAGGTAATGGAAGCACAAAATGGCTATAATTAGCACAGTTAAACAAAAGCACATTAAAACAAACACTGGTACAACTGTTTATAATAATAATTGTTTTTATTGAACCAGTCGTGTTCTCGTAATAAACGTGAGTCACTACATGTCCTATCTTACCACATTTCAGACATTTAGCATTACAAAATGCACATGAATTACGAGAATGAAACTTTCCACATGATAAACATTTACCAAACTTCGTCTCACCTTTGTGATTTGCTTTGTAATTCCTTGTTGAAACACCTTTTATATATATACACGAGCATGGTAAACGGATCACTGGTAAACGGACGCAAGTTGGATTGACCCTGAGATTGTAGTTCATCATGACGACTAACCGAAGTATTAGAAATCTTCATTGACTGGATATCAAGTTCATTCACTGCCTCGTAGGTAATACACGCAGTTCTAGCATCTTGAAAGGAACAGTTCGGCATTCTGAACAGATCTCTTTCCAAACCCGATATGTTAATTTTTGCAATTAATCAATCTCTCAATTGCACATGAAGTTGATCACCGAAATCACACTTGGCAGCTTGTTTCTGTAATTCAAGGATGAATTCCCGAACTTTTTGGTCATTTTGACGAACCATCTTATGAAATTTTGCCCTTTCACGGCATTCAAAACTGGTGAACCTTACATGATTTAATAATAGCTCTTTAAGAGTTGCATAAGGGATTGAGATTGGTTTTTCTGGATATGTCAAAGTTTTTAATAAGCTGTACGCTTCTCTCCCAATAAATGTCAGGAAATGTGCCACAATTTTATTACCTTTAATATCTTTCTTAGTCATGCTCCTGATTTCAAACCTTTCCAAATAATCTTCAAAAGCCTCTGAAGTTGAATGAATATCTAAATTTTCCATCGCAGGCTCCATCGTGACGCCAGTATAGTGTTTGAAAATATTTGAATTATACTACGAACTAAGAGTCCCAGAAATAACACAATTGAATTAAGAAGTAAGACACAATCACAAACGAATGTATTGTATTTGGAATTCAAAATCGAGTATTCAGCAAGTACCAAGGTATCATTAGTTCGTTCAAACACCACACCTAGTCCTTGATATATCTATCATATTATTGTTCAGGTCACTTTTGTCAACAGTTAATGTAGTCGATCCGTAAAAAGTCTTTATCAGGATACGACAATGCTCAAACAAGTAGTACTATACCCAAGTCACCGAATACAAATTGGAAAGCGGTTAAAATGCAGTACTCGAAACAGGGTTGTATATTAAATGATAATGGTTACAACAGTCAAGTAACGAATGTTACTTATAAGCTTCTTCTGAGTAACCACTACGAAGAGTCCACTCAACTACAGAATAATCTTCTGTTCAATTGATAGTGACGATGTGAAGCGAAGTGTTAATCCAATACTGTTATAGGAAAATCCATGCTATTGATTCCATGTTGTTAAGAGTGGCCTAAATAGAAAACACAACGCTATTATAATCTTCAATCACAGACCATGGCCAATAAAGCAGAAAGGTGAATGACGTGTGTAGTTCTCATTTGAACATATAAAGTAGTGCAGATACCAATCAACAATTTGATTTTATCCGGTCATGTTCGATACGATCAATGCGAACAATGTTTGTTGAATATAAATGTGATTATTTACAGAGCGTCACCAAAAAGGAAGAAATATGGTCCTTTACGGTAGTTACAGAAAATACTGAATTTGTGTGTCAGTATTTTAATTTTTCTTGTACTTATTCTTCTGTGAATGTCGGCATTTCGGCATCGAGTTATAACAGTTGTTTGGACCCGTGTGCGGCCGACTTTATAGCTCTCGATTTTGAAGTTCCTGGTATTTACGGCTTTCTTATGATGAACTTTGATCGAATGAGGTAGGCTGGCCAGGATATGAGTTATGAAACATTTGCTGCTATTGACTCGGTATATGAGTAAGTGCTTTACTCGTGATACGGACACAGAATCTACAGAAATCGATAGCCTTTCATTACCCGTAATATTGCTGATCGTACCGATGTTTGCATGAAGTAGACATAACTACGAAAATTACTTCCAACCAACTTCCCATGTACCTTAGTGAAATAAACTAATATATTCTAAAGGGACAGGAAGAGAGTTTCACATTGACTAGCCAGCGATTCTTTTATTTATGCTCATTCATATAACTAGGTATTTACCTAGATATATCAATGACCCACTGCTCCTAGACACGAATGATCACCAACCAAAATCTCCTTTTCTGTTCATAATCACTTGAACAATTCGAATGAATTCGTCTGACTGTTATGCATTTGCCTATTGTATCGATTACTGAGAGGCAAACCAGAATGATTGCGGGTGTTTAAAGGTCACGTTACATAACGCGACCTTAAGAACCCGTGTTGTTGACTTCCATATGGTAGGAGAGTTATTTAAGACTTTTATGTACATTGTTTTCGATTTCTTTTTGTTAGCAAATTTGCAGTGCATTTAAATTATTTCACCGAGCTGCTGACTTATGTTATTATTTTTTTTCAGATTCTTCAGCATAAATGAAAGTATAGACAGGGTTCTTCACACCCTCAATATAGCATATCTTCAAATTGGATGCAGTCCTGCTGAAGATTGAGAGTTACAGTTATTTTACATCTTGCGACATATATGTCTCCAGGATGTTTATCAATAAAGATATTCTCTCTAGATTATTACTTTGCATTGCCAAATGATTTACTGGATATAGGGTATTCAAAGTTTGCAAAATGTTATTCACATCGGATCCCGATTATTCGGGTTTATGGCACAACACATGCAGGTAACTTAAATGTACTTTTACAAGTTTCTCAGGCCAGAAAATATGTGCCAACGTACACGGAGTTTTGCCGTACATTTTCGTTGAGCTGCCAAATGTGGAGTCAGATATTCATGAATTCGTCCAGTCGTTTGTTCTCAGCCTTGAAAAATCCATTCGTACAAAGCTTAGCACTCTTAGCGTCAAAGACGTCATAGTTTTTGACGTTTCGGTGGTATCTGGTTTGTAAGTTAGGTTCGTATTTCACTCCAGTGTAGTTCGATATACGGTTATCATGAATCAAAAACACCTTTCATCAAGCTTTACCTTGTGGACCCCAGTTTGGTTTCCGTCTGTTCCGAAATATTGCTGAGTGGGGTCGTATTAAATCGCCCCTTTCAAACTTATGAATCACATATTCCATACTTATTACAGGTTTCATCGTATTACTTATATTATTTGGTTGTAGTTTTGTGTGGATTATAATCTGTTTGGTATGAACCTGCTTTATGCAGGGTATTTCAGATTCCGTAGTAAGTGTACAGGTTCATTTATAGCTTGTAGCCTCAAATTCTGTAGGATTTCCGTCGTTGATAAGGAGCTCGGAAAATGCATGGAATCCCCAAAAATTTGGTTCGTAAGTTACTACAATTATGTGTTTCACAATTTAATCAATAACTGCCGTGTGGGTGGGTAATGAAATTGGAATTGATCCAAGTGTCACTAAGACTCTGAATATTCTAACAGCACCAATGTTCTGGCGTTCTCTGTCATGAATAATTTCAAGTAATTGTGTAACACAAACTAAAAACTACAGACTTGTCCCTCCATATTGTAACGCACTTTTATTCTAATTTCTCCATCCCATGTTCACTATATATATAAGTCTTGAGTGCTGTTGATTGTTCACACCTTTCTTCGATTTCATCTCTTTTTCCCGATATATATCCTTGATGTCTAGTCTATTTTACTAGTACAGACGACTGTCACGACTATTCGTCTCGTTAACCCCCTCCTAGTGTACTGATTTGGTATGGTAGCGTGGGGCGATTCACGTTTTTGCCAAGTCCTAAGCTGTTTGTATCTGAATTATTAAAAGTATGGAAAATTACTTCATCTACTATTATTTTGGACAAAGATAAATGTAAATAAACTCCTCTTATATCTCATTTATCAAGATATGGAATTGTCTTTTGGGAATGCGCAACTGACTTGTAGAGACAAAGAAATTGTTTGAAGAAACAATTGATATATTCTATTAGTCGTATGTACAGGAAATTAAGCAACTAGCTAGTTGTAGTTCATTGCCTAGTCATTGGCTTATTGTCAATTAGCATTGATAGCCTTAACTTCGATACCAGAAACGGTTATTTTTACTGTATTTACAATATAAGTATTCAGGGAGTTGTTAAACTATTTTTCTGTGTTCCCTTTAATCTGAAGACATAAAAATGCATTTAGCAACTGTTGGACGTACTATTGATTTATTTTACACATACCATTCATTTTGACCTTGTTAAGAGCAAAACTGTGTCTATAAAGCACTACCCTGATAAATGTTATAGAAAATTCTAAGCGCGTTGATGGCCCCTTAGCTCTTAGAAATCATAAAGTTTGTAACTGTTTAACAGCTATAAAAGTAAATAATATAGTCATAAAGTTAGTTGGCTTTATTGACTGTATTTGATGAACCATATGAAAAAATAACACATGACTACTTTTGCAAAATGTTGAATTAATAGTCTAATTTTATATGTAACGCTCTTACGATTCTTCTTTCTCATGCTTTTAAATGACGTAAGAAGTAAGAATTACTTAACGTATAGATGCATACAACATGTAAGCTAAATAAATTGTGGGTTCCCTGAATATGATATTTTAATAGAAGAAATGATTAAAATAAGTTTATCAAGAGAATTTATTCTGCATTCGATAAGAATAAGATATTTTTGATTAGGCTGTTATTCCTCTATAGGGTTTTCAGTCGATTACAAGTAGTTCTGTCTCAATCAGGCAATCATATTTCCAACGAGTAGAGAAAGTATGAATTTTCGCGAGTCATTTGTAAAAGTCTCCAAATGTCCTGGTACGGTAGAGAGTGGGGAGAGCCAGCGCTTCATCTCGAAATGCGCTCACATGGCCACGCGCATACAACCACTGCCAGTAAAGCCCTACTCGCGGGACCATATCGCGGCATTATTGCTGTTTACGATATTGAGAAGACGAAAAGTGAATGTCCGATGCTTTAACCGGGCTGGTGGACACGGAGAGTTCACCTAGGGCAGTTGGAAAACCTTGATTCCAAACTAATGGCGCACATGGGCTTCAGTATGCTGAGGAAGCAAATGGTGTATAAACTGATCGTTGGTCAACGGCTACCATGAGACTGCATCTGCTTACAATGCTCCACTGCCTTGTGGATCAGACCCTTAGGTCGAAGGCTCCGGGTGTAGACCCCTAAGAAAACCACCTGTTTCGGTCTGGGCACCCGAGCAGTATCCAAGCCCTCACAAAAATCGAATGATTTATGTGGTGTATATCTATTTTGCTGCCTCCTTATTCCAATGTTTATGTGTTTAAATAAATAAAAAATAAATTTATATCTGCATATCTTTTCCTTGGGTTACAAATATACTCCCGACAAAATAATGTGAATTTATATTAACAAGTGTGTTAGTGAACAATATAATGGGTTGTGTTTTTTAAAAGCTAATCGATATAAATTTATCAGTGCATAACCTCGTCAACATTTTTTATTTATTCAGGGAATATCTTCTACCGCCAGACTCTATTCTGAAATGTACAAGTATGGAACTAGAAGTTGATATATCTGCTTGGGACATACTGAATCGTCGAGATCTGCAAGGTTTGTTCCCGGTGAAAGTTTTGAAACTATAACTTTGAAGTCACTTTAATGAGTTTGTGCTTACCATAGTATATGTTTCGCAATTCTATGGTCTCATATTTCAAGTTTTTCATTTAATGAATTCAAGTACCTGTTTCCTTATCTTGTGTTGGTACATACGTACATAGATTTTGTATGAATTCTTATATGATTTACTTATATATTGTTTTTCTTGTCGTCATCTAGTAGTCTTTTAATTGTTTTTATTTCATCTGACATCATGTTTTTGTTTTGATTACACATTTTAAAGATAATTTATCTATAAATCCTGGCCTAGAAGCTATGTGGCATGAAGAGAAAATGCGTCGTGCATCCAAATGTAACATTTCAAATGAAAGACTACCTGAAATGCCTACTCCTGATGAATTATTACCAATTAAACGTAAGCATATCACATTTCGATGTTGTTAATTGTTCATATTATAATTTTTTAAAATCACGTCATTAAACATTTTCTTCTTGATCATCTTTCTTTTTGATATCCTTATTACTTCCAATTTATTAGAGAGTGGTGTAGTTAATCTGTCAACAAGTGAAATGCATTATCTTATTCAATGGACTAATTTACTTCATGATCAACATACATCTTTGGAACTTCAACAAGATATAAACTGTACAGGTAAATTTCATTGGATATTTTTTAAAGTTATTTTTTTGTTTCTTTTCCATATCAGTTAGTCATAAGATTGTGGAGATTTTTTCTGTATTCGTAAGATTATTTTTTCATATGGATGCGGATTATAATCTAAACAATCTAATGGCACACTATATATGAATATTCTTATCATTGCAAATAGTGATCCTATAAAATTGTATTAGGAATTTCCTTTTGAGTTTTATAACTCCGGGATCTCGCTGTATGTGTTAGTGTTTGCGCTGAATACCCGTAAGTTCAACACTCCTTTCATCATATATAATATATATCTAACCACAATTATCAAACCATACATACATGGACCTCATTATTCTGGACTCAATAATTCAGTCGTGAGAATCAACAATGGGATAGTTTTGATGAAATAACTGTGAATCCATTGATATCTGTGCTTAGATAAGAAAATCAGCGTGCACTGAGATGCGAGTACATACAATTTATCTTACAATATATCAGCTTGTTTTTTTTCACTACAAAGTTTATTATCATAAATCTGACTATTGTTACTTGACGTTCCTCTAGAACGATCAATTTGTGATATGATCAATAGGAAACTTTCTCAGTGACCAATAAACGATCTGTTTGTGTATGATCATATGAAAATGAACCTTTTATCCTACATAAAGTATTCACCTACTAATTCGTCACTGTCTTTAGAAAACACCGTTACCTCTTCCATTTTTACGCCTAGCTAACAAACAGTAAATCGTGTTATACTGCACGAACTTGGTACTTCATTTACAACTCGGTTAGCAGAACACTTTTTTCCATATACTTATACTGTAGGGAACAAGACTTCAGGTAAAGAAAACCAATTCATCGTTTTATGCAAAATTACACAGTAATTTCATCAAATATGAAGATCATGCATTAAATACATTATTTGCATATCTTCCTTTAGTTGGCTAATTCTTATCCAATAAGCGCTAGCCGATACTTGGATAACTATACTTACGTATCTCTTATTATGCTCCTTACTTCCATCTACCCTTGTTATTTGGAATATAATCTCTTCCCTGTTCAACCGTGTTCTGATTTGGAGACTTGTCGGGTGAATTGGGGTCTAAGAATACTAAGCAGTCGGAATAGCTGGGTCGTAATAAGAGAAAATTATAACACATACATCACGACTCCTCCAATTCAGTCGTTATTTCAATTGCTTTCCGATTCCCTTTCTGTTCTTTTGATTTCAGTTTTCTGCTACCAGGTATTTCACTTCCGAATGCTGCTACATACTACTTGTATCTGCCAGCATGAATAGCATACAGTACAGTACTACCATTGATTTCAGCCTACCAACATGTTTGATTTTGAAGTGACTTCACGTTTTCTATTTTTAAGTTCTCAGATTGAAGGTTCTGTTAGTAGAATGCAAACCTTTGCAAATTCCATTCCGTTTGTTAAACTCGATGATTACTCTACCTCCTGTGAATGATACTAATATCACATTAATACATATACTGACTAACTTAGTATTTTTATTTTATTTTATTTTAACACATAGATATTGGTATCGGGAGGCACCAAATACATATGCGCCACACAAATCTCATTCGATATGTGTGAGGGCTATGATACTGCCCGGGTGCCCGAACCGAAGCGGGTGGTTTTTTTAGGGGGCCACTCCCCGAGCCTTCGACCTAAAGGTCTGGTCCACAAGGCAGTGGAGCATCTTAAAGAGATGCAGTCCCATGGAAACCGGTGACCAACGATTAGTTCATACGCCATTTGTTCCCTCAGGATACTGGAGCCCATGTGCACCATTGGTTTAAAATCCGGTTAAAGCGTCGGACATTCGCTTTTCGTCCTCTCATTTTCGTAAACAACACCGGCGCCACGAAAAGGCAGTGAGTAGGACTTCCCTGGCAGAGGCTATATACGCGTGGCCATGTGAGAGCATTTTGAGAGGGAGAGCGGACTCCCTCCACTCTCAGCCGTACCAGGGCATTTGGGGGCGACTAACTTAGTGACATTGAAGAAAAATTATCGGAAAAGTATTAATAATTAGACTATCGGAGACAGTCTTGTTTAACAAACCGAGATGATAATTAAAGTTTGAGAACACTCGAGTTTGGGTCAATATTCGAATGGACTTTGTTTACATTATCTACCATCTAATTCAATCACTAATGTATGGGAAAGTCAACTAGAAAAATTACAGGGGAAGATCGATGTGTTTGTTAAGTGCTATCATTATTATTTCAACGGAAATAAATGAGATTTGGGTTATCTGTAGAATTGTTCCCATACTATTTTCTATAAATTAGTAATCAGTAATATTTTTAATGAAAAATGTCTTCAATTTATACAATTATTGGTATGAAAAGTAAAGGTGGTGACTTGATGGCAAAGTGTTTGGCTTCCAACGATTCTGTCAAAAGTTCGAACTTTATTCAACTTGGCTTTGATCAACTACGTAGTAATAGTAGCCATTATATAAAATGCGACTGTAAACCGAGGTTACAAACATGTACTTGGTAATTCGATTTCACTACTCCCCCAAATGCCCTGGTATAGCCGAGGGTGGGGAGAGTCCATTCTCCCTCTCCAAATGCTCTCACATGGCCACGTGCATACAACCACTGCCAGGGAAGCCCTACTCACTGCCATCTCGAGACATTATTGCTGTTTACGATATTGAGAGGACGAAAAGTGAATGTCTGACGCTTTAACCGGGTTGGTGGACACGAATAGTCCAACTAGGGCAGTTGGAAAACCCTGATTTTAAACAAATGGTGCACATGGGTTCCAGGATCCTGAAGGAACAATTGGCGTATGAACCCATTGTTGGTCACAGGCTTCCATAACATCGCTCCACTTCCTTGTGGATCAGACCTTTAGGTCGAAGTCTCCGAGTGTGGGTACCTAAGAAAACCACCTGCTTCGGTCTGAGCACTCGGATAGTTTCGCAGCCCACACACGAATGAAGTGATTTGTGTGGTGCGTATGCATTTGATGCTCCTTTGTACCAGTATTTATGTTTTTTTTAAAATAACTAAAAAACCAAAAACATGCGAATAGATACATTTGTGTACAGTTTTCTACTTAGCTTAATATATAGAGATCATTTTTTATGTTTTAAATTTTCTTGTGTGCAGATTCATCTGATCCGAATGAGTACATTTCTAATTGGCTTGAATCCAGTCAAACAGATGATGATAATTTTGATTATGATTATGACGATAATGACGAAAAACTGGGCATTAATTACAAAGAGGATGCTTCCGATGAAGTTAATAATACTGAACTGTCCGCTACTGTTCAACATACTCAAGAATCAATTGATTTAAAGTCTCCCATTAATAGTACTTTACAGCAACCGCCAGTTAAAACAAAATCAGTAAGTAGTTTTACAACGATAAGTTCGGCTGGTTTAGAAGATCTTTGTCGTTTAGCTAATGCAATCGAAGAATTTGATGCATGGGTACCAACACCTGAACAATTGGATCAGTTGCTTAATAATGTAGAATATCCCGCAGAAGTTCATTCTTCGTTGAATGCAACAAATATTCAGCATCCTCGACTATTGACTAATGATGATGACGATTGGATTTGTAGTCCTATTGAATTGGCTAAGAACAAAACATTTGATAACAATGTAAGAAATAATGAGTTATTTGCTTATTCATTAGTTTGTTCTTATTTTTTAACCTGGTTACTTAACATTCTGCTATCACGTTTACACCTATTAAAATAGACAGACATGAAGTGACCGAAGGGGTAAAATCACTTTAAGGTATCATACGAAGTTTTAGTAACATCAACCTTGTTTAATATCGGAGTTTCTATTCCTCTGCTGACGTTTTAGTATACTGATTGATTGCTACATCTATCAGTCAGTCGCATTGAATTACAGTTACGTGTTGAAACTCGCCAGCAATTTATCTAGGTTATTTATTTCCTAATACCCTATTACATTCAACCATGTCTTGAAAGCTTTAACTTAGCTGGATTACTATTGATGGTCTTATCAACTTAATAACATGAATATAGAGCCTAAGGCAAACCTACTTAAGACCAGTCACAAAAGCTTTCCGAGAATATTTGATTTTAATGCTATCAAGGTACGTTCCATAGATAGCAAACCTCACGATGTTCTCATAGCCAGATCTTCAACTCCATCAGATCATGAAGACGTAATGTTTCTAGATATACTGGTCATTAGTCACTATACTGTGTTGCAGTCAACTATAGAACTTGGGTGTTGGGTCCAAGTTCTAATCGTTTCTATTGTATTTCCCTTCAACTGTCTGTCGCGTTATGACATCACCAGGAAGTTTGTGTTATAGCTAACACAAATCATCAAGATTATCATATCCAATTGTGATTAACATAAGCTTAACATATCAGTGTATATAATTAGAAATAAGCGATTTCTGATATATTTATTATATATTGTTTCAAGGTTTTGAACAGTACTTTGACTAGTCGAAATTCAATCATCGACCAGTCCAATGTCATTGGTATAGACAAAGGACAGGATGATGACAAAACTTTAATTTTAAATGCAGCACAATGTGCTCTGTCGTTTGTATGCAGTCAACAATCGGCGGTAGATAAACCAACAGTTGGAAGTCTCTGTGCTACAAAAAATGAGATAACTGAAGATGATGAGTGTATGTCTCAACCTGTTGGAAGTTATTTGGATAATGATGATATATTCTATTCTATAAGTCATTCTAATGAAGTGTTTATCCCAACGCAAGATTTGGAATCACTTCATGAAATCGATGAGGAGGATGAAGAATCATGTGATGTGCTCCACTTAAATTCAACTCCTTTACAAAACAAGAATATGAATGAACAAATTTTCCGTGCACAGGATGAATGTACATTGTCTGATTCTCCTATAATTCTTTCACCTTTATGTCGGTCTGCAGAAAATTCTCCACCAGATGTCGATGGCAATATTGTGAAATCTAACTTTCAAGTTGATAGTGTTTCAGATATACTTTTTGATTCTTGGAGTTCTGAAAGTGATACTTCAAAGTCAGGGTGAGTTGATACATACTTTTAACTAGCAGTATGTTGTCTGTTGACCAAATGACTGATTATTCTAATAACTTTTCTCAACTACTCAGTTAGCTTGGTTCACGTACGCAGATAAATAACCGATAAAGTCTCAACGTAATGATTACGTAGTCATATCCACCATTTTGGTGGAGTTTTGTTCTCTGAGCTGGATGGTTTGGTCGTGGAGCTTTCATCGTTCTTCTGAACGACATCATCAGCACAAACTTCAAATAGAAGTGAAGTGTTCGAATTTCTCCATATGCGTTTCACAGCTTGTTCTGTGCACCTCGATGTTGATTGGTTCTTGTTGACAAATTTATCATTGTTTACTTCTTTGTTTTGGTTGTATCTCCCATTGGTCTCCCATTTGTTCCTATATTTATGCATGATTTTCCTGATTGGTTGATAAATTGGATTGATTTCAATATGTTTGTTGATTGCTGATTGACCTGAGTGCCAGGCTTCTAAAAATTCTCTTGTGTTTTTGGAGTTTCCTCTGTCTAAGATTTCTACATTTTCTCAATCGAATGAGTGTCCGTAGTTATCCACGTGTATTGATATAAGTGAAGCGATATCATGGCGTTTGACTGCTAATTGATGTTCATGTAAGCGTGGGTGGAGGGGTCGTCCGCTTTGTCCGATGTAGCGTTTGTCGCAGTTGGTATAATTTATTTTGTAGATGATGTTTAATTTGTTTTCCTTTGTTATTTCATCCTTCGGTTTGCATAGGAATGATTGTAGTGATTTTGTTGGTTTGTGCTGATGATGTCGTTCAGAAGAACGATGAAAGCTCCACCACCAAACCATCCAGCTCAGAGAACAAAACTCCACCAAAATCATCCACCTGAGCTACAAATCTTCTCCACCATCTCATATCCACCATCTCTGAGTACATTGAAATACCGACATAAACATGAGTTCAATCAGTGTTTACAACGCAAATCTTTATGGCAAGAATGAAAGAAATGTTTTGTTACTTTATTTTAGCGCCACTCAAATCATTCAGGCTATATCTCTGTTAAAAGAATAGAATCATCCTTAAACTACTTCACCTTTTCGTTTGCTAATCTTTTATTACGCTAATATCGCTCATTAGGTAAGCTTACATGACATGTTTTCCCCATCTTTTAAGAACAAAAACTAGACTATAGCTACTGGTATGTGGTACATAACTTATACGCTAAACATATCAAAGGGGTGTTTCCGAAAATGTTTTATCCAGTTATAGTTCATCAGTTCAAAATACTTCCAAATATTCCCTAACCATATTCTGATAATTTGTTACTTGTCCCATACGATTACTAGACCTGAATATTATTTTTTTAATATTTTTTAAAATGACATTTAATTAAATGATCATTTCTTATCTGACTTGATAGTTTATGTCTCTAGTGAAATACTATTCCGGTACTGTTTCCTTATATGCAATCTTTCTCCTATATATTATCACCTTTAACCTAACCACTCCTATGAATCCGGTGTTCATCTTGCTGTGCTAATGAGGTATGGCAACCTGGACCGATGCATATATGTGCCTGGTCCTACGTTGTAGCTGACTGACTGACCGACTGACGAAGGTGAACACAAGTGAGGACAACCGATTATATTTAACACAAAATTACTGAGTTACTTGGTAAAATAGAAAAACCATTCTCAGACTTCATTGTTCCTGCATTTCCATACCAACTGCTTTCTGTTCCGGTCCTTCCCTTCTCAATCTTCTAATACCAGATATTCTATTCCTGACTAGCGTTATATACTACTTATGTCGATATAAGTAGCACACATCACTACTATTAAGAGCACAAAGCCCATCAGTTTTTTTTTACATTTCCGGTCAAATTTCATCTTAAATCATTAGATTGTATTTGGTTGAGATCATAAACCGATTGATGTTAGACCACCATTAAAGACTTGAAAGCACTGAACGGCCGTCTCGTCCTATTGTGGGACTCCTCGGAAGTGCGCATTTACGATCCTGCACGCGGGATTCGAACCCAGGCCCCGCAGTCTCGCGCGCGAGCGCCTAACCTACTGAACCACTGGTCCGGCATCCAATGGTGTCAATGTCTAACCTCAACCAATCCACGAAATTGCGCGACCATCTTCCATTGTACTGTTCATGATCTCAATCAAAAACCTAATAATCTCCATAACCCCTATACTGAACAATAAATTGTACGTAGCATATGTAATTAACGTAATATTATCGAATGAAATTCGTCTTAACATAAGCTCATTTAATTATCATTTAACTATTAATAACTCTTCTGACTTAGTTTAAGAGAAAGAGAATGAGAGAGACTTAGATTTATGACCATTTAAGCTCGTGACAATAGAGTAATCACTTTACAGCGATATATTAATAATTATTATGATAAAATATTTTAATATGTATTCATACTACTTATTTGTCTTTCATCTTAATTTGAATAATATCATTTCAGTAATTGTATACCTCAAGTCGATGGAAACATGGATACATTTCACACTGATAGTGATGGTAATAATCAGAGTAGTAGTACAAGTACTTATTCTTCGAATACTACTGGTTAGTCATGTTATTCAGTACTATTTGTAATAATCATATATAATTGATGCTTTGTAAAAGTTCAGGCAAACTATGAGCAAAATAACAATCCCTTATTTCACATACATTTCATTATACAATGTACTGAATCATGAATTCCCATTTGAAATTGGGAGAGTTGCTTAAAAGTCAACTTCATAGAATAATAATCTAAAAGTTGTATTGTCATTAGAATCTTGACTATCTTGGGAAAATATGCTGTATGCACGATAGACAGAAATTAGCCCGTCCTCCTTTCCTATCCTTGTTTCTTCCCTATTTAACTCATTTTTTGTATGTTGGTTTATGTACTACCGTTTTTTAGCGAGTTAATGTTTAACGGGAAGGGGTCGTTAACCCCATACCCAACCCTCCTCCTTTATACGGACTTGGAACTGGCAGCAGCCTCAGAGGGGTTTCAGGCGGAGTTTCGAATAATGTCTGAGCGTATGGTGTAACTCACGTTTATTTATTGAGTAATATACTAAAGTATTTACACAAACTAATAACATTTACTGTATTTATTATTGCAGTTGCTTTTTGTTAACCCCTATAAAAATTGTTTACGGTTTTGTATATTCCTTAGATCTTCGTGTAAATACAACAGTTTCAATGTTTAAGTGCTGTTAGTTCCCATTTTGGTTGTTGATAAATTGTTAACACTAGACACTACTACCAATTGTCGTTCATGCTATCGTATGTTGTAATTACCCTTTATGCCATAATTACAGGTAGCGTTCGTCTTTGCACGCCTACAGGTGCACAGGTGCCTCACAAGTTGATGTTTGTAACCAAGTTATGTATATTTCTTAATAATAATGTAAAAGACAATAGGCAGGAAGAATTTATATTTGTTGTGAGAAGTTATAAGGTATTTACATAATACATATACATAGTCTTCATTTGCATCTTTCGGTGTGCTCTGCTATCCTAACTGTTTTCTCTTATGGTCTCGAAGTGTTCTGCTGACACTGCGCTCTCGATGTGCTGAAACTCTTCCCTCGATTTGACAATTGTTGCAACTTTGATGTCACCTTCCGCTACATACTACTTACAAACAATCCTGTAAGTAGCGTCCACACATATGTCAAACGTATATTTGAACACTTCGATATAGTTAACAATAGATATGAGCACAACCCGACTAATAAAATGTTAAGAGGAAAGACATAAAAAGTACAACATTGAATTGCTTTTGTTCTGTGTTCGATATTCTTCCACGCCAAAAATAGCTGAAATCCTTAACGAATGTAGACTCTGTGAATCTGACTACTAAGGCGATCTCAAGAATGGTCAAATTTTATTGGAAAGATTAACATCTTGCAAGGAGAATCGATCATAATAGATTAGCTCAATCATTTCCGTCCCTTGATCCTTAACATTATAGACCGTACTGAACCTCAATAACAAGATACGACACTGACAAAGACTATAAAAGACCAGGATGAATAATTTACTGATAATCAAAATTTTTCACTCTGAGAATGCTCAACTTTTTCTTCATCACAATTTCTTCTGAAAAACCACAACTTCTAGTCAACACTTGCAACTCTCCTTGTGATTGTTTGTTTTCATATTTTCTTTCTAGAATGGTTTCTACTTGCTGAAAAGTGTTTTACAATAAAAACATTTTCGATTTTCATTGATTGTCTTTATTAATTAGCTTAGTAATTCGATAATATGTTTTCCTATTGACACTTAACATTCTCTTCCCATTAAACTATAATAGTACTTAAAGCTAAAGGTGAAAGAAATCGTCCTAGAAAACGTCGACGTCTTAGTCTACGTTTACCGAGAAAGCACATTTCAACTACTCAAATTACGAATACACAAAGTACTTGTACAACAACATCAATTATATCGTCATTTAGTTCATCTAGCCTTCAATTGAATGATATTGATACTAGTGTTTCTACTGATAATGTTTCATTGAACAAATCAACTCCAATTGTAAACAAAAATCAATCTGTTTTTGAAGAAAACTTACTCACTGATCTTAACAACTCAACAAATTGTCATTCTTCTACTCTAATAAACTATTCAGTAGTAAGTTGTTTTATCACCAATTTTACTCTTACTTATAAATATCATCCAATTAGTAATTGCTGGAATTTTGTCAGTCTCAATAAGGTTTTTTTTCTTAAGTAAAACATGAAGATTAAATAGGTGAGTATAACGATAATATCAATCGTAGTATTAAAAAGATTCTCAAAAAAGGTTTCCCCTACGTCTATCTTATCATTTCATTTATCCTATTCGATCATTTTTTTGTACTACATTATATTACTTAATAATATTTCAATAGTTAATATCATGAGTCAATTGAAGCTAGACCACTATGGAAAACGTGGAAGCACTGGACAGTCGTTTCGTCCTATTGTGGGACTCCTCAGCAGTGCACATCCATGACCCCGCCTCGCGGGATTCGAAACCAGGACCCATCAGTTCAACCGAGTCAGTTGTGAGTTTGTAACTCACTAAAGACAATGATGGATGTGTCGCTCAATTTCGTGGATTAGTTGGAGTTAGACATTCACACAGTTGGATGCCGGCCGGCTCAGTGGTCTACAGGTTAAGCGCTCGCTCTCGAAACTGATAGGTTCTGGGTTCGAATATCGTGAGACGGGATCATAAATGCGCACTGCTGAGGAGTTCCACAATAGGACGAAAAGACCGTCCAGTGCTTCCAGATTTACCTTGATAGTCTAGCTTCAATTGACTCATGATCTTAACTATTGATATTACTATAATCTCCTCTAGACTCCTGATATTAATAATATTTAGTAACTAATTTCACTTTCAGTCGTTTTCGGGAGATCAGCATATAGTTACTGTATAAGTATTCACACGAATTTATGACATTGAATCCATTTATTATTGTAATAATCTCTTCTTAATACTTTTAGCAGCTACTTTAAATTCGTAACAGTTCCCGTTGTCTATGTAATCAGTTTGCATTTCGAGTGTTGATTGCTTTTGTGGTACTGACATAACAACTGTCTATTACCGACTTGATCATATGTTTTTGCTAACGATTCTCACACAACTATTGCAGAGATAACTTTTTCTTTCATTGTCAACTGAATCCGTAAGCGCCTTAGTTTATTTATTTGATCACACAAATATTGGTGTAATGAAGCACCGAATACATATGCCTCACACAAGTCACTTGATTTATGTGTGGGCTATGATACTGTCCGGGTGTTCAAACCGAAGCAGGAAGCACCTTAGATAAACATCTCACTTATTTTATTATAAGTAGTATCGTATTTTAGAGAAATCTACTGTTTTGATCTTAGGATTTTATATATCACTTAATCGTTTCATTAAAAGCATAGAACGGAATTAACAGAAGCGTTAATTAGTATGATTATGAAGATTAAACTTGATAATTTCAAATAGATTGAACATTAAGTAGGATATTGGTAATAATATAAGGATACTTCTTTGATAACGCTTTTAATAAAAACTAGGATTTCTGATATTTCATGACTTAGTGTAAGTTACTTCTTCTGATTAAATAAATAAATAATCTGATCATTTATTTATTTCATTACCTTTTCATTTACTCTTAAGAAGTGACACACTAAGTCATAAAATGTCAGGGAAAATGAGAAAAATGGATGAAGGGATGCTGGGATCAGACTAATCCACCACTCTACTGTAACCTGGATTACTCGTAGATTCAAACCTCGAGACACTAAAATTGTAAAGGAATCCCCTATGTTTATCCAATATGTATATGAATTATATGAGTCCCGGTTTGTGTAATTATATATGTAGGTTTATGCAAAGGATACGTGCTGGGCTTGCCTGTACCGTATCAAACTACACAGCTTGCCATGTGTCCTAATCAAATAAAAGTGGATAGAGAATCAAGGGAAAGGGAACAATGAACATCAGCCCTCCCCTAGGGCGTTATGCCTATGTGTGTACCATGAAGTTTGTATGCGAAAGTCTGCGTACCAATTCTACTCAGGTAAAACAGATGTACCAGTTGTGAAAGTAGCAACTATATGTGTAGGGATGAGTATTCCTGTGTATATGTCACAGGATGTATACATAAAAGCACATGCTACCGGTATTCAGTCAGTCAGTCAGTCAGTAACAACGTAGAACTTCGTACGTACGTACATAGGTATCACTTTACATGAATATCGGTAGCGGTATTCATGTAAAGTGATACCTATTGCAGGTGCGACGCCCGAGCCCTTAGATCCAGTTTTTTTGAAAAACATTTTCATTATGAAAACAAATCCACATAATAGATTTATTTGCCTTGAAATGTTATATTTCTGCCATGAAAGCTAATTGACTTTAAAATTACAACTATGGATTTGTAATGCACCAACCGATTTGATTAAATATCCTTTTTTTTTCTTTGAACGAAAATATTTTGCTGTGATCACTGCATCTAAACGAAAACATTTTAATTTTTCAAATTTCTTTTCTATAGTCTAATAGTAATAATCTATCAAATCCTGTTGTCCTTCTTGAACGTTTACCATCATATTTTGATGTAGCTGAAACATCTTTTCAACAATCAGGACGTTTAACACCCCCTGAAGAATTTTCAGATCTTGAAAATACTATGATAGTCAATTCAGAGACACAAACACCAAAAATGAATTATTCATCAGTTGTTTTGTCTGAACATCAACCTTTATTTTCTTCATTTCATCATGATTTTCAAGATACCACATATTCACCATATACTTCTAGTTTATATACAGATAAACTAAGTGTTTGTTCACAAACACAATTGTCGCCGTTTAGTGGTATGGATCACCGATCTACAATTCAATCAGAAAAGACATCATCATCATCTTCACTTTATTTTACTCCATTTTGGCGTCCAGTACATTCAGCACCTAGATTAGAGGTTGTAAATAAGTGGCTTAAACAATCAAAAACATCACAGGATTTTAAAAAATCAAATGTTATGAAGAAAGATTTCGTTTGTACGGATTCACAGTCAGAAAATGATAAAGCGATCAACCTTTCGAATGACTTATTTCCACAGGTAATATCTGTATTTTGAAGTCTAAATACTTTTTAAATTTCTTCAAGTTCTTGATACATTTTTAATACATTAACATTGTGAGATGGTCATTTAAAATCCCTTGTTTGACACAAGCATGAATATTATATAAAAGATCCCATAGATGATTAAAAAAGCTTGAACAAGATTATCAGGCAAAACGTTGGATTTACTTCATATTCATTCACTAAGATTTTAACAAATACATTCTTACTTCTTAATGTTTCACATTAAATTGGCGCCCAAATACTGTGAAATTATTCAATCAAATTTAGATGAAAGTTCTTATAGATCCTTTAGACACTTGAAACTCAACCTCACAGTCAAATAAGATGTCTTTAAGTAGATTAGGTCACGCTAGTTGGTCTCTACTTATTAGTAAGTAATCGCGTACTCTTTAACCTTCAGTAACAGGTTCACTTGTATCAAGTCTTTAGTGTAATGAATAAACTAGGCGATTCAACTCTACAGTACATTGAAATGTCAAAAAGAGCTTACGTTACAAAATACTGGTATTCAGTTCGCTCACCTACCACCTGTCTGTTTTTGAACTTTATTTTCTAAATTGAATAGTTTTGTGGAGATCATTTTATTCTGTAGATGTTATTCATCATATGTTAATTCAAATAAGGACATCATTGAGAATTAGAGAATCTTCAACAGCTGTTTCTACTTGGCATAGTACTCTCTAATTGTGCGCACCCATGACTGTGTAAGCTATAACCATGGGAGTCCAGTCATGTCAGTCGTCATCATTGGTGTTAGATAATTGTCACAGTCACGGATTGTTTGAAGTTAGAATTGTGTATTCACTAAACGGCAATCCAATGATTTTAATGATTATATTATCATCATGAGATATGAACTATCTAGTAAGCCAAATGTTAGGGACAGGCTGTGTCGAAATCTCTGTTTACTGAATATCGTATTTACAGTATGTTGAAAACATTAAGGTGGTGATCATTTGAACGATTACTTTAGACCGACCAAATAATCTGTTCATCATAGATCTTTGGTTCTATTTTATTTTATTCAGATTTATACGGTTTCCTCAGCACACCTGCTACATTAATGATCGTAATCAATTTATGTCCAACTAATGGGTTCCATTCACTTTCTCTTACTTACTTACTTACGCCTGTTATCCATCGTGGAGGAGCATAGACCTCCCACCAGGATTCTCCATCAAACTCTATCCTGGGCAATGTCTGCTTCCGATTCCCGACGTTATCTTCTTATCATTATCATTTGTTATTTTGTATTAACTTCAGTTTAGAATTAAAATATATTTATATAATATATTAATTATAAAATGGTTCTCTTATGTGATATTTTACAGTGTACAGCTGTTAATCTAATATCATCGACTAATAACGAACAAAATACCAATGACGATTATCAAACACTTTTATATCCACCGGATAATGAACAATCTATTGATACAACACAACATTCAACTGGTAATTCTGTTAGTGTTTTATATCAAGGTGCTAATCAACGTTGTTTCTCATCGGTTCAGGTATGCAATCATGATAAGTTGTATACATTTGTGTATGTATTAATTCTGATACAATGATTGTTTACCGTCTATATTTTTTGCTGCTTTTTTTAAATATTCCTTGATACGATCGAGGGTAGAGAGAGTCCTCTCTCCCTCTGGAAATGCTCTCTCATGGTCACTCGTATACAGCCATTAATAGGGAAGTCCTACTCATTGCCTTCTCGATGCAAGGGTGTCGTTTACAAAATTAAGAGGACAAAAAGCGAATGTCCGTCACTTTAACCGTGTTGGTGGATACTGAGAGTCCATCTAGGAGAGTTGGAAAACCCTCATTCCAAACGAATGGTGCACATCGGCTCCAGGATCCTGAAGGAACAAATGGTGTATGAACTAATCGTTGGTCACCAGCTACCATGAAACTGCATCTTCTAACGTCAATGCTTTATTATATAAAACACTTTGATTTATTGTTATGTTCCAGTATTCCTTCGCAAATACCTTTTCACTCCATCTTTTCAAACCACATTATTAATGACTAATTTTTATTACTGTCATCACTACTGCAATTTTTTCCACTCTTCATCTTGTTACTATCATCATCTCATTGTCGTTGTGACGTGAGATATGGTAACTGTTTTGATTTTATCACATGATAGGATCGCCAATCTGAACACCGACTTATACAACCTTGGCACTGTGCCAAACCACTGACACGTTAATCAGCAAGAGCAACCTACAGTCCTAATTAGTTCTTCTCGTTTGGTTTCCACTGTATGAATTATGCATTTCAGACATACTTGGCAGACCAGACAGTATCATACCATACGTAAGTAGATCCAGTCCCATGGGAGCGGGTGACCAACGATTGGTTTGTACGCCGTTTTTTCCCTCAAGATCCCGCAGCCTATGTTCACCATTGGTTTGGAATGAGGGTTTTCCAACTCCCCTAGATGGAACCTCCATATCTATCAACCCGGTTAAAGCGCTGGACATTCGATGTTATTATGTTATCATTTATCAGTTTTCATTATCAAACATCTTTTTACTACTCGACAACTTTTTTCGAATATTTTTTATTGGAATTTCAGGTTGATCATACAACTGTAGCCAGTTTAGAATTACATTGTTCTAGTCGTTTAACAAAATCACAAACTATATCATCTAATCAAATAGAATCGAAAATAATCAAAAAATCATTATTAAAATGTGGTCTAATTCCAGATCCAGCTTTTGATTCTATTCAAGTTGCTTGTCTTAGTTTTTTGTATCCACAACAATCATCTACAATAGAATCTACCGATAATACTCATCGAACTAATTTATTTGTTTTAATTCATTCTGAGTTATCTAATACTACAAATATCGGATTATTTAATAAATATTGTCATGGATTAACAAATTATGGTTATGGAAATAATCGACATCAATTACAACATGTAATTCCTTGTATCATTTGGTGTTCAACTGAATGGAATCTTATATCTTGGATTGTTTATTTAATTCAAACGTAAGTATATATATCAGAAGGGGTTTTATGGATATTATAGTAATTTCAATGGTGGGCTGTCCAGTACTTCCAGGTTTTCCATGGTGATCTAGCTTCAACTAACTCATGATCTCAACCATTGGAAGTAAATACATATAACTGTTCTGTCCACGATCGTGTTGGCGTATGCTGATTGGATAAGAATCAGTCAATCAGCGTTTGCCAATGTTTGGAGAAGACTAGAATCTTCTCATATAAAAAACTATAAATATACTAACGTTTCACTTATTGTGCTTCTTACTTCCATCTACCCTTGTTATTTGGAATATAATTTGGCGAGACTATAATTTGTGGATGAACCAATCAGGTAAAAGATAACAGGTCTTGGATTTCAGCTCGAAATTCTTTATTCATTTAGCTAAATAACGTCTTGACATTTTAACTGATGTAAGTTCGTGATGAAAACTCTAAATCGAATTCTTAACCCTGTCCATCAATTGTAATTCATAATCCTTATTCTTCAAACTACTTTATAACCCTTATTTGGTCCTAGTTATTAGGTGGTCACTTGAACGTCGCTCAATGATCGTCCATAAATTATATAGTCTCACCTATAACTTCGTTGCTGTTTAACCGTGTTCTGATTTGGGGACTTGTCGAGTGAATCGGTGTTCAAGAATACTAAGCAACAGGAATAGCTAGGCTGTTATAAGAGAGAATTGTAACAGTAACATAAGATGAATTTTTATTTGGGATTATACTGATTGATTGTCTTTTCTAGTTTTTTCATGTGATATTTATGAAATAATTTGCTTAATACTAATATATGTATAAAATGTAGTGGTATTGTGGTGAACAAAAACTTAGATAAGGTAAAACCAATTTATTGTTTTTACATTAAATGCATCATTTGCATATCTTTCTTCAGTTATCCTTTCCATAATTTATCATTCTGCTGATCCTATTGTTATTTTGATTGCTTTCTGTTTTTCTTCTTCTTGTTCTCCTCTTTCCTTCATTCTTCTGATGGTAAGCATTTTACTTTCGATTCCGGCTACTTACTACTTATTTCTATTTTTATAAGTATGATTTCTTAAAACAAACAATCGCTGAAGATTTCCAGAATTTCAATATTTGAGATCATGAGTCAATTAAATCTAGATAACCATGGAAAACCTGGGGGCACTGGGAGGTTGTTTCGTCCTATCGTGGGACTCCTCAGCGGTGCGCATCCATGATCCCGCCTCGCGAAATTGGAACCCACGACCTGGCGGTCTCACGCACGAGCGCTTAACGTCTAGACCACTGATCTGGCCTGCGTCCAATGATATTAATGTCTAACTTCAACTAATCCACGAAATTGAGCGACACATCCATCATTGTCTTTAGTGAGTTACTATCTCACAACAGACCTTGTTGCACTCCACTGGCCACTACTTCTCATTAGAACTCCAGGAAATACCTCTTGAAACATATGCTGATTGGTATCGGAAGGGTTTCTTAGTGAATAATATAGTAATTTCAATAGTTGAAGCTAGACCACTATTGAAAACCTGGAAATACTGGTCGGCTTCAATTGACTCGTGATCTCAAAAATTTATGGTCCTTAGGCTACCTACTTCTTAAATATTAGAATTTCAAAGACCATGTCCAGTTGATCAATTTTTTAACTGTTTGCTGATTTAGAGTTATAATCATTGTCTTTATAAAAGAATGAGATAGTGTTTGGGTTCTGTTAATCTACAACCAATACTGAACATAATGAATATTAGGAATGGACAGTGACTATGCTCATACAGTCCACATGTCACTGCCATCTTAATCGATAAATGTTCACAAGCTTGTCAAGTGGTTTATCTCATTTCCAAAATGTATCAGGAGAATCTCTACATGGATCTTTTCGTTATTATACATAGGTGGGCATTCCTTTAAATAAAAAAAACATATACCTGTTAAACCTAATAAATTCACTATATAATAACTGAACTAAACATCAAAGCAGATCATTTGTTGACGATAAACTCATGTCTATCAGATTTTTGAGGGGATCTCAAAATCATTTATAAATATAATGGGTCATATCATATTAGACGACCAATCCTTATAAGTATCATCTAAAAATTGTTGAGCAGTAATGATATCCTCAATGGCATATACCATTAAAAATCCTCATAATGAATGAAGTAAAAGTAGGTCAACATATAGATTACTACTCAGCGGTTAATCATTCTTTGTGAGACTTAAGTGCCTTCGTTTCGATCCTCAGTGGGATCATGGATATACACCTCTGAATAGTTCCATAACAGGACAAAAAAAACTACACAATACTCTCTGGTTTTTAATGGTTATCCAACTCAGATCAATCCGTTGCTGTAAACTATGCTACAAATATAATACATATCAATAATTCTTTCTAACTGGTAAATGTTTATTATTCAATTGATTTTCTTTAAAATAAAACTTTAATTTCCATCTAGATTTGACCCTGAAATATTGATTGGTTATGACATTGAACGGTTTTCATGGGGTTATCTTGTTGAACGTGCCAATCATCTTGGACGACGTACCTTTACTAGAGAATTATCGCGTTTAGCATCAGGTTAGTGTAAATAAGTGAGAGTATAATTATTTTATTATAATTCTATATGATATCATTTCAAACAAGTCTCTTATATGGTTAGTTAGAACCTACAATAATAGTGTTATTGGAAAACACTCCATGTTATCACCATCAGTCAGTCAGTCAGTCAGTCAGTCAGTAACAACGTAGAACTTTGTACGTACGTACATCAGTTCGAGTTTCCATACCATATTAACATAGAGATGCAGTTGTCGACTCAAATCCTGTAGTGGTAGAGGCGGTAAGAGTATAAGCAGTAATCGGAAAGATTAGGGTTTCAAGATGTTATTTTAGGAGTATAATCCAGTGAAATAAATTTGGAAAGAGAAAAAAAGGGGCATAAAGAATTCAGAAGATTAGAATTTGGGAGAGCACAAACAGTGGATGCACCTGCTCACACCATTGCAAACGATTTTGAGCCATGTCATTCAAGGTCTCTAACCATTGTTTCCTATCGTCTCGCGGACCCCAACCAGATAGTCTAAACATACCAACATGGCTCAGTCCACTTGTCAGTGACTTCATGGATTTATGTCATATTTTGGTCTGACCGCCCCTAGCTTTCTTCCAACCTACTCCTGCACCATAAAGCATCGCACATCGAGGCAGTCGGTGGTTGGGCATACGTAACACATGTCCCAGTCATCTCAACTGATGGAGTTTCACTACTTCGATTGATTTGCCTTCCTTACCTGGTACCCGTTTCTTAACAACTGTGTTACTTATCCAGTGGTCTCAGCATATACGAGCAATGTTTCGAAGACACCTATGGTCAGATACTAGTAGTCTACGAATATCCTCTACTCCTACTGGCCATGTTTCACTGCCATAAAGTAGGACGGAACGAACTGCTGCACAGTAAATCCATCCTTTGGTTGGTAGACGGATATCTCGCCTACGCCATAAATAACACAAGTTGGTAAAAGTTAGTTGAGCCTTTTGTATCCGTGCTGAGATTTCGTCACACACCAGACCACAAGGGCTGATGAGATTCCTGAGATAAGTGAAGCGGTCGACACGCTCAACTACTTCACTCTCTATCATTAGTTCGGGTGTCGATGCAACCCAATCCTAAAGTAACATTTTGCATTTCGAGGGAAAGAATCGCATGCCGAACATGCTTGGATTGTTGCTTAGAGTGGTCAGAAGACTCTGCATTTTGTCAGCGTCTTCACGAAATAGAACTATGTCGTTGGCACATTCTAAGTCAACATGTGAATCTCCCGGTAGAACTTCAACCCTTGCAAATTTAGATGAGGAAACTGTCACTTCAGTAATCCTGAACTCATTGTATCAATTGCTCAAAATATTTAAAACTTACCGATAAGACGGTTGTAATTTGATTTTACCTTACTGGAAGTACCACTCGATTTCGGCGAATGAAATATTTTGTGACTTACCAAAGCTTTATACTCGAAGACTATTGGTCGAATCAGATCTTTTGGTGATTTGTCAACAAAGTTAAATGGTTGCATTATATGGTATTCATTAGGGATGTACAATTTCTTCATTTTTATTTTGTCACAGATGTACTCCTAGAAATAATACTTTCTAAATGTTGATCTCCTACCTGGAAACTCTTTTATCTACTTGGACTATACAAGTATTTTAGTTCTTCTTGGTGAAGATGCTTACAATGTGTCTAGTTGTCTAAACCATTTGAGTAACCTTGTAAGAACATCTGGTATGCATTTCTTTTCCTTATATGCAGAATGTTGCTTTAGGGCTGATTGGTCTGTGTTGACTCCTAGTTTGACCGTAAGAAGTGAAGTAATCGAGCTCGTTAACCATTTCATTAGCCCTAACGGGTTTATAACTGATTAAATCTCATCATAGATCTTAAAAAGGTTTCTTGGCTTTTACAAATTACATCGTCTATAAACTAGACAGAATATCCATCTGTTTATTAGAGAGTCAATTTGCTGTTTGCGTAACAGACCTCTCTGTGAAGACTGTGAAACATAATATTTACAAGTACTGGATATTTGTAGTACTACCAGTACTTGACCACAGAAATCTTCAATCATTGATCATGCATTATAAGACGACCGAGTAACTATACTGAGGTTAGTTTTAGAACGCAATGTAAAAGGGACAAGTTTTTTTATGTAGTTATAGACCTTCATCAATTGATTTGATCAAGAAATGTGTTACACATACTTAACCACCGTTAGAAATTGCAATATCTTAACCGAATTACATAGAAAAAGCTAGGGCCTGCTTAACCAACATGCAACATCAGTCCATAAATTTATCAAATGTCAATCTGAGCCGTGTCAGCAGATGTGAAGTACTACGTTGAATTCTGCACGATAATAGTAATGAGTAGCTGGAGCCCTTGGGCGAAATGATTCAAAATTAGTTGAAATATAACTGATTTAGTTTGTGTTAGTCAGGTCATCTAGAAAGGTAATGATGATTGCTTCATGATTAAAACTACCCAGCTCTGAAAATGCTATTTGAACAAAATCAATCATTCAGTTTGACAACCATATTCTATCATTTGTTATCATTTTTAACTTTTACCGTCGTGTATGTGTATAATTTTCTTTCAGACATTATAAACTGCCCTCATTGTTATCAGTGTATTGCTAAATGCATTAAAATAGTTCAAACACCACCAACAAGAACATCGTCATTGTCTGCCGCCACTACAAACAGTAGTATTAATAGTTGTATTTTCACTGAAAGAAATAGTCCTTGGCACTTTAATACTGAAGAATTTGTTAATGATCTAAATGACCTATGTAATTGTCCATGCAGTCCGTTGTATTCCACAATAATAACAAACAAACAGTCGGATCATTCTAATAACGCTAATAACAATTATCGTCGCATATGGCCATGTGATTCAGCTGCTGGACGTACTGGAGGTCCATTCGCTTGTCCCGGTCGTGTTGTTCTATGTTTTTGGAGGATTCTAATGCATGAAGTAAGATTTAGTGATATCTTTGTTCTTTGTCTCTGTTACTTTATGTGTCTGAGTGTATTTTGTCAATTAAACTGTCAACAGGAAAGGACCTATGGGCGAGACTCTAATTTAGGAACGAACCTTGAATGACCTTGACAATTATTAGTCAATCAGAAGACAGTTAGTATAAAGTAAAAATATATCATAAGAAAGTAATGAATTACAGTGGATAGTTTTCTTTTACATGATTTTAAAACTTGTTAAGGTTTGATAAAGGTTCAGATGTTCTGAAATCATGATGCATACGATATAGGAACACGTCCATATGGCTCCATAACAGTCGTCCTCTAGAGCCGTGGTATGGTCTTAAAAATTCCTTCGATCTGGACCACATAGCTTCAATATTATTAGTATTGACGCCGGTTGTAGGGTCAACGAAATGGTACATATCCAAGTCTATGTAGGCACCTATAAGCTCGCCAATCATCCGTATATACTGTTGTGTCCGGCTGCACGTATTCCTGTATAATTGGTATTATTGTGTTTGCTTGCCGGTTTCTGACCCTCTGAAAATGTCCCTTTTGCGTTGATCGGTCATAAGTTCCAAATACCTGTCAAGTATATTTACGGAAATGCTACTTACCCATTCTTCATTGATACTACGTCCCCTATTGTATTTTCGCTTTCTTACTACCGTTTCATCTATCTCCACAATGCATCCTACTCCTCCGAATGATTGGCGTAGACGTGTCATTTTACTTGTACATATGTCACGGCAGTACTCATACCACTGGACTGCTGAAGTTTCAGTAACATCCGCAAACGCCGCAGCCAATGTTACTGGTGTCCTTATTACCCAATTCGCCGCTATTATCATGATCTGCCTTAGTGTCAGTCGCGATCGAACGATGAAAGTCCCCGTTCGAGCAGACTTTTTCCTCCAACATAAAGAACAACGAAACATAATCTCACCACGGTGGTCTTCACACTTTGCTGCAGTCATTTGATAACCGCAGTCGCACGTACAAGAACATCTTAATAGTCCCATATGTTGTAGCCTCTCAATAATCACCTCTTCTCTAAAATCCGCTGTAAACCGACCGTATGTTAGCATTACGTGTTGAACTTGGCTCCGTGACCTTGAAATTGCTCAAACGCTTCTGATTGGCTCGTCCTTAAATTAGAGTCTCGCCGACTTATGATAGAATTTATGTTTTTATTTTTATTTAAACATATAAACATTGGTACAAGGAGGCACCAAATATATATGCGCCACACTTCGTCATCCGATTAGTGTGAGGACTGTAATAGTACCTATGTGTCGAAACCGAAGCAGGTAGTTGTCATAGGGGGCCAATCCTCGAGCCTTTAACCCAAAAGCTTAATTCACAAAGCAGTGGAGCAACGTAAGGAGATGCAGTCCCATGGTAGCCGATGAGCATATATAGGCTCACGCACCATTTGTTCCCTCAGGATCCTGGAGCCCATGTTCACTTTTGGTTTTGAATCAGGGTTTTCTAAATCTCCTCCATACCTACTAATCCGATTTAAACGCTCGACGTTCTCTTTTCTTCCTTGCGATTTCGCAAATAACATCCTCGCACACGAAAAGTCAGTAAGTAAGAATTCCCCGCAAGTGGCTATATACACGTAGTAAACTCCCAACTCTGCCGTACCAACTCATTTGGGACATGCTTTGTAGAACTATCAAAAGCTACATTATCTTAAAAAAACATTTTTTTCATCCGGAACTTGCCAACCTTAGACATTAATATTTAAATATGTAATCAAACCGAAAAGCATAAAACTTTTCAGTGTTTATAACTTTAGTGGTCCACTCGTTTTAGATACAGACGGTTCGCAATATAGCACAACAGTTAGCGACATGAATGTATCGTCACTCTTTACTAACTCGAAAGTTTTCACCCCAACACTTCAGTGAATCCATCATGTATCTTGTCTTTTTTAATTTCTTTTTTTTCTTAATTTTACCGTTTTATGTCGTAGATCAGTTTATTCGAGTACAGTGTAGAAACTGTAGTGTATCACTTGTTGAAGGAATTTATGCCTCGTTATACATTTGCACAGTTGAATGAATGGTACATGAATATGAATGGAGCTAACCGGTATGTCTAATTGGTTCGCCTATGGTAACTAAAGTTCATTTAACAATTTGCATGTAAATATATAGTCGTGATAATCCATTTTCATAATTTTATTATCTGTAAAGTAGTAGATAAAAGCAAACATAGATTAACGATTACCAATAAGGTGTTCAATAATTTATTTCTTGTTTGACACTGTTACGGTGTTAGTTTGTTCTTTAAAGGTCAATTGTACAATGATGTAGAACGAGGATTTCTTTTTGTGAAGTCTGACATTTTCGAATTTAAAATGTCGTATACTATTTTTCTCTGTCATCTTTTTGTCTTAAGGACTTACCATATTTTCTCATTGGCGTGCGGTTCCTATCGAGACTTGGATAACTGTGTTTAGCAAGAGTAAGAATAATGATGCAGGACCTAGAAATTCGGCTTCAAGACGTTCAGTTCCGTAGATTCGTTACGTTGAATGAGCTTTTTCAGATACACTCACAAATATTATTATTTACGAAAAGTTTGACTTGAAGGTGAAGTGAAAGAGCCACTTCGTTTTTAAATGAAATATATTTGGTTCTGGTAACCTGGTCACAATATACTTCTTAGTACCTTCTCTATACCGTGTATCTTTCAATCCAGTCTTGGAAATTTTAATCTTCATACTCGTGTTTTACCGTCTTAATTTCATCGGATTTTTTTTTCAAAAAATCACCTCAAACCATCAGTTTTGTTTAACACTATCTAGTTTATATAGAATTGGTGCAATATGGTTGACTGTAGAATCCGAGACGGGCGTCCCGTCCTGTTTGAAACTCGTCAGTTGCATCCCAGAGTTGATGACCACTTTGAATGGGATGTAACCCGTGTCCTGAATTGTACTAGTAGCCACATTCCATCTATTTTACATAAACTTTGACTATATTGAGAAAATGCATATAACGAGCACATCTAACAAATAAGACTCTTCAAAGTTCAATCAAGGTATCAACAAATCAAATTTTACATTATCTGTTTCCTTTAGAGATTCCCTCGCATTATATTCTTTATGGTGCTAGTGATAACATTAGTGCTATCGGAAATACACATTACTGTTAACTTCTGTCTCGTGAATGACCATGTAGCTCGACTGTGTTACCTGAATAATCTTGAATAATTACGCGTACAAATCCACGGTTGAATACTAAGGGAACATATACATGAGCGCACATCTGTTCAGGTTGAATCAGTAACGCTAAATGTCTGTTTCATAGATATCAAAATAGGTAATTATACTAGTGTTAGACCTATCGAAGCGTCTAGGTCACTCGATTGAGATACGAGTTGAAAATCATCGTAATCGATGTAAAATACTAGGTGTTGAAGTTTATTCTAGAACCTTTGTAACTATATAGTATAAAGCCCAGCACACTTAATCATCTTTTTATTTAACCATTTTGTCGTATTGATTACTTGTTCGAAAAAAAACTTGACCAAAAACGAAGACTGGACAAAATAACATTGGCTACTTGAAAAATACCTCTCATTAGCTACCTATCTATGAATATATAGCAACGAAATGGGAACTGGAACTTGATAACGATTTATATCTGTATACTGGCTAAAGTCACGACCAGTTGAAATGTATTAATTGTTTCATTTTACTGATGAACTGTTTCATAAGTCAGCAGCTCACCATTTCTGATGATTGGTCATGATCCAGTCGCATTTTCGATGCTTTTTTACTCTCTCTCTCTCTCACTTTGTCGAGTAGCTGGCGCACAATCGACTATTGGATACGTCGTTCTATTGTAAATCTGAGATTATTGAATACTTTAGATTTAATTGGTCGAACAAGTGAATTTGCTCGTATATTTGGTATTGAATTCTATCATGTTCTATCTCGTGGTTCTCAGGTTTGTTGAATAAATAATTATTAATTTGTTTATGAATGTGTAACTCAATGTGCTCAATTACACACCATAAAATTACGATAATAGTATGAATGATCAAAGTCGTATGTCTTGAATTTCATCATTTGTTGCATGCCAAGAAATTGTGTCTTTTACAAAGTACTGTAGTTAACGAGAACACAAGTGGGGATAACCAAATGTATTATAATTCAGCAATACAGAATATCCTGATAAAATCTGAGAACCATATGATAAATACTTCATTTGCAAATTATCAGTCAATCGTTTCAGACTTGATTGTTCATTCGTTCGCATACTAATCATTCTCTTTTCTTCGATCTCCTTAACCTGCTGTCGCCAGGTGCTTCACTTTCAATGAATCACTACTTGTATCTCTCAATATCAGTAGCACACACCACAGTACTAATAATGTTACTGTTAAAATTCTATTGAGAACATGAGATGTTCTTAGAGCTTAAGCAGAATAGGTAATCACTGTTCAATACAACAATCAAAGTATCTGAAATATTTAAAATATATATTTAGAAAATTGTACTAGAATGTCTGCATAGCACAATATGAATTCGTACCTACAACCTAGCTGTTTAGACATCAAGGATTAGTTAATTATACTACACTTCCAAATATGACCTACAAGAAGACAATGAACGGAATAATGAAAATTCGTAAGAAAAGAGTTGAGACCTGTTATGTTTGAAGCGATTACGTGTTCACTTAGTTTGCGAACGGAACAAAGACTTGTGACCAAAAACCAATAAACTAGCTATTTTAGTTCATCCCAACCCCGCTAACTAGAAACACAAGTCGAAATGGGGAAATATATTCCACAAGCAACCATAAGTACGACCATTAACAAGAGGCACGAATCAAACGTATACATACAGCATGAAATTGTCCTTGCGAAGCGTTACTAAAAGACACAACGGACCAATAGCATTTAAGATTCTCCCAAGTGGGAAATACGATATAAAGGTGAAAAGAGCGCTTTTGGCGCGAAAACAAAGAAATTCAAATTTTCGAAATAGAATTACAAAATTTGGACCTTTTCCAAGTTAGTTCTGGGGATCTAACGTCCCCAACAAGACTAGTCACTAATAAACCTGTGGGAAATTTTAGACGTAAATGGAACATGTGATACTTGTGTGTATCCTACTTAAGCGCTTCATACAATTTCAAGGCGATAGTATTTAGTAAGATTCTCTAAATTAATAGTTTACATAATCAGATGATGTAGGTTCTTTTTCTATGCATTTTGTATACATCATTTGAATAGTAAAGATTCTGCTTTTTTTGTTATTGATTAGTTTTAATATCTCACACTTTGAACCGGGCAGATCATCGTTGAATTAACCTGTCCACCTAAATGTACTTTTGCAATTTACGAAAGTGGTTCACTACATAGTTTGGAAATTTTGTTGTTATCAGTATAGAGTTATGGAGATTGTTGAGTTTTAATTAGGATCATGAACTGATCAACATTAGATCATCATTGAAAACCTGGAAGTACTAGATGGCCACTTCGTTCTAGTATGGGACTCTTCAGCACTGTGCATCCACGGTCCCACACGTGGGACTCAAACCACAGGACCTCCGGTCTTTCGTGAACGCTTAACATCCAAACCACGAACCTTGGGTCCAACGGTGTTAATATCTAATTGCAATTAGTCCACGATATTGCGCGGCCATTTTCCATTATCTTCGGTGGGTAACTGCCTAACACCTGATGCTATTGTTATTTTCTGTAACCTATAGCACATTACATAAATCAGTTATTGATATTTGGTTTTTCACTTAGTAAACGATAATCAGATGAGTAATATTTTTGTATTGTAGTTTAATTCAAAAGTGCTACACCATAACATTTCTCTCGTATTGATTCTATCTTTCAGTATCGGGTTGAATCTCTTCTCTGTCGAATTGCAAGACAATCAAATTTTATTTTACCTAGTCCAAGTGTTACACAACGTGCTCATCAACTTGCTCCAGAAGGCATTCCATTGAATTTAGAACCAGAAAGTGTATTTTTCATTGATGGTCCTGTGGCTGTTCTTGACTTTCAATCATTATATCCTTCTGTTATAATTGCTTATAATTATTGTTATTCTACACTGTTGGGACGTCTTTCATGTCTTCTTGAAGGGTGAGTATGTTGGCAACAGCTAATCTTAACGGATTCACTCATTATTTTTTATCAATAAATGAAAATCACTGGAAAAATATATAACATTTGACTTTTGATTGTAGTTAACATTTTCGACAGGATTTAAATCACCTGTGTGTTCTTTTAGTTACTATTAACCGGTCTAAATTTTCGTTTGTCATATATAGAATGTTCATTTAGGGATAAATCAATGACTTGACTGACCATCTAATTAAAATCACTTAGTCGTGAAATTTTAATGTTCTTCATTTACCAGTTTATGTATTCTTATTTTGACTAGACTTTAGATGTGAGGACGATTGATCTTACTCAGGTGTTCAGACCGAAGTTAGCTGGATTCGAACCTGTCTCTAGTTCGTCATATGTCAAATATTCTAACCACTAAGTCAACACCTAGTAATTGGTGATGTAGTCTATCAATTCAGAAACCGTTCGTTAACTTATGAGTATCAGCTCATTCCCAGATTACTTTGTAACACTGCTCAACATTTCTCTATCCCTTTATTTACTGAAACACATAAATAGTGGTGCGAGCGGGCACTAAAAGAAATACGTGCCACACAATAAGAAAATGAGATTGTGAAGTGATAAAGGAATGAGGATAAATATAGTTAAAAACAACAAGTGAAGAAAAGTAAGTTAACGAGGGTAGTATATGATGGGAGAAGCAGTTCAGTTGAAAAAATACAACTATAAAGGATTCTTTCAGTTAAAGAAGTTCCTCGCACTTATATGAAGAAAGCGAAAGCAAGTCACAATAGGATCGAAGTTAGTTACAGCTCTAGGCCATATTTGATAGCGTCTCGAGCCACTAAGCTGCACTCCAATTAGGGAGTTATGATGGACCAATAGATGGCAGTTTCATCCAGCTTTCTTCCATACTTCGGTCCAAGTTGCCAAACCTCATTCCCACAACAAGATGAACACCGAATTCATAGAAGCAGTTACCTCAATGGTAGTAATATATAAAAAAACGGATCGCATACAAGGATATGATAGAGGACAATAATTAGTTCGTCGAAAGAAAGGCATAAAGTAAATTTAATCTCACGGTTTATCGGAAAACAAACAGTGTATACACCTACATCAATATGATCTATTCTGAGCCATGTCATCCAGAATCTCCAACCACTGGTCATGATAGTCACGCAGACCTTGACCAACATTTTGAATAGCTCTCACGAAGCCATGTTAAAATCACATCAAATATTATTTCCATAGTGATTGTCTACAGAATTAAACAGTAGGTTGATTGTTTACCAACTGTTCTGCAAGGAATTTTGTATTGTGATTTGTTAAGCTTAATAAACTGCTTATTTATTTATTTATAATGACAATTGAACTGTCGTGAATTGTACATTTGTAGTTTGACTCTCTCTTTTTTGTATTTGTGTAATGAAGTGAGGAAGTTTCATTCAATCTTGGTTGTTTATCACATTCACTTCCATCTGGTCTGATCAAGGTAAGTTTTATTTATAAATTCATGTTAACAATTTATTAATATCGGAAAGAGATTTTTGTAGATATTATTAGTAATTTCAATAGTTGAGATCATGAGTCCATTGAAGCTAGACCATTATAGAAAGCCTGGAAGAACTGGATGGCTGTCTCGTCCTATTGTGGAACTCCTGAGTAGTGCGCATCCACAACTGTGCCTCGTGAGCACTTAACAATTTATTGACAAAATTTTGTCGACTCTTCTTAATAAGTTTTATACTAAGATGAATTTTAACAGGACGATAACTAATATCTCATCTCCTTAAAATTCTATTTAGCATAATGATAACATAAAAACAATGTTAAATAGTTCAGAGGCAGACTATAAATATGTGTTGTTGATAAATACTAACCATCGAGGCATACGCCCAGTATGCACATATGCCAATAACAGACTGATCAATTACAGTCCTAAACGTCAATGGGAAGATACAAGCCAAACAATACCAAGTGAATTCATCATAAGTTGTACCTTCACAACATCCTATCGTTTACTTTTAATCCTCACTTTGAATTACATCACTAAACGAAATCATACAACCAAATGCCTATTTTATAAGCATAATCATTAGAAACCTGTTAAACACTACAAACTTGACAATAGGCTATCAATTATGTGATAAGTGATTCGTGTGAGGATTACAATCTGGCTTCTAAATAAAACTAATTGTTAGAATATATGGGTTGTGGCCAGGAGTAAGATCCAGGAAGTGCTGGATTTTCCTAGATCAATGTGTTGTTGTTTAAACGGAGATTTGAGTCGATTAGATTTCACTGGAAACACCGATTTATTGTCCACTTAGCTATAGAGCCCAAGTAATAGTTAATTGATTCAATAGATTTGACACTTTATATGTTTGAAGATATTGTAGTCTGTAAGCTGGTTGATTCGGTTGTAGAGCTTTCATTGTTCTTCTGAATAATATCATTAGTATATGTGCTTCTGCTTTTCAAAAGAACAATATTTATTTATATTGATACAAAGGGGCACCGAATACAATGCGTCACACAAGTCACTTGATTTTTGTGTGGGTGATCAAACCGAAGCAGATGCTTTTCTTAGGGAGCCACATCCCGAGCCTTCAACCTAAAGGTCTAATCCACAGTGCAGTGGAACAACGTGAGGAGATGCAGTCCCATGGTAGCCGGTGACCAACTAATGGTTCATATGCCATTTGCTCGCTCAGGATCCTGGAGCCCATGTTCACCATTGGTTTGAAATGATGCTTTTCCAACTCTTAGGCACATGCTCCGTGTCCACCAACCTAGCTAAATCTCCGGACATTCGCTTCTCGTCCTCCCAATTTTGTAAGCAACAGTAATGCCGCGAAAAGGCTGTGAGTAAGACTTCCCTGACAGTGGCTATATACGCATGGAGAGGGAGGTCTGGTTCTCCCACTTTCAGCCTTACTAGGGTATTTGGGGGCTCAAAAGAACAATGCAAGTTTCACAACAAAACCATCCTAGTCAGAGTCTGCTATTTTATCTACAAAATTCTAAACCTAAGCTACAAATATTCTCCATCCTTTTATCTGTAAGGGTTTGTATTATTTCATTGTTGATATTCAAGAATGAAATTTCACAAGAGAATACTCATTACTCTTAATTAATGTAATTGAAATATGTAAATCTCACAAATGGAGAGATCTTCAATTAAGATAATATAACTCCTTGATTTCAATCGTCTCTGTAGTCGACATTATTCATTGATGAACCTGATCTTCTAACATTAAACAAATCTAATCTATTACATATTTGAACTTGGCTCATTTGATCAACATGGTAACATAAAGGAGTTCTCTAGATATTGGGCTTTATGGACAATTATTTGAGTATTCAAAATTATCTGAACAATTTCAAGATGTAATTTTTAGTAATTATTGAATAAATTTGTTATATTAATTGATTCTTCATTAGATTTATATACTTCATATGATTTATGTATATACATATTGTTTGAATGTAGAGAATCGGTCGAGAAGTTAATATATCACCAAATGGAGTTGTATTTGTGAAAAAATCAATAAGGGAAGGAATTCTACCACGGTAAGAAGTATATTATAGATTTTCATTTGGATTATCGATTTAAGAATTAATAATAATTGAGGCAGAATAATAATATGATTTCATGATGATAAGTTGGTGGTTGGAGGTATTCAACAGGAAACTCTGAACACGGGTTTCGTGCTACTTAGCACTCGTCATCAAGGTGTACCTGTAATCTTGAAGGAACTGGTACTGCCGGACGGATTCGATCCCGTGTCATCCAGCTTCACAGTCAGAAACATTACCACTGGGTTATCCGACCCGCGACCGACCTCATGTAGGACTGAGATGTAATCACAATGTTATCGATCATTCAATCTGCATTAAGAAGGACTTGACACAGATGACATGGATCACCACTCAGTGATCAATCAATTGTGATTTCGTTGTATTTTGTGGTTTTGCATCATTCACTTACAACAATTAATATGTATTAACAAGTAATATTGAAGCATCATATAATGTGAAATAATTGACATTGATGATAGAATGATTTAGAGTAACAAGGATTATCAACAATGATTTTATATCTATCTGTCTATTTGTGTAAAAACAGATTTGAGGTCATTTTGATATGGGATTCAAGAAGATAGGGCGGGGGATGGGTAAGGCAGTAATTAATTGAAGTTCGGAAATAAGTAAGATAGATAATTATAGAGGGTTTTGAAGGGTTTACATAAGTTTGCTGGAATTGAAAAGATATATATTCTGTTAATACCATCGTTCAATTAGTATAGGACACCTTAGCTATACATGTTCACATAATTCCATGAGTAATCTGTGCTTTGCAACGAGAGTTTAAGCTTTAGACCGCTAGAATAGCATCCAACTGTGTCAAGTGTAAGACAGTTATCCACCGATAGTATTGAAAAAGAATTAATCTAATGAAATTAAGCTTCATAATTATCATTCGAAGGTTAATCTTGACAATTAAATTTCATTCATTATTAATAAAGTTTTGTTTATCTGTTATATCACTAAGAAATATGAAACTTAATTCATATATCATTATGAAATGAATCTGATATACCAGTTAAGAATACTTAGTTCCCATAGGTGATGTATTCAAAGTCTATTGATTTCAAATTTATGGTTTCCCCTTCGACTACACTGATCATCTTTTACAGATAAATCAATTATAGCTAGAAACAATTCGGTTATTTACAAAAGAATTGTAAACATATTATTATTACTACATACAACAGCGTTAATGTTCACCGTCTACCATTTTCTTCAGTGAGTTACTATCTCACAACTGACCTGGTTGAACTTTACTGGTCACTGCTTCTCACTAGATCTATAGTTACGAATAATAATGAGTAGAAGTCACATATTTCGATGTTTCGTAACTTAGTGCAAACCATTTCTTCAGAATAATTAAAGTTATGACCGAATCCCAAAGGTAATTCAGAAGTAATTGACAGGAAACCTTGAATTTAGGTTTTTTACCCTTTGTTGCTCATCAACAAGTTGTGCCTGTAATCTTGAAGAAATTGATACTTCTTGTCAATTTCTATCCTGTGTCAACCAATTTTACAGTCAAAGATGTATTACCACTGAGCATTAAGTATAACTCAACATACATGATATTGGTCACTGTTCAATTGTTAATCAATGGCAAATAACTGAATTAGGTTAACACAATTGTAAATAATGTCAAAGAATCAAGTGGTTTATTTAGCTCTTCGCTATCTTGTTCAAGGACACATACACGTAGATTATGGGTTTCTTTCGTTAATTCTCAAGTTATTTTCTTATTTTTTCAATTCTACTATGGACGACACAAATTATTTTTATTGAATCATGAAAAAAGAAATTGTGAATGATTATTTTGCCCCTAAATCCCCTGATATGGCCGAGGGTGGGAAGAGTCAACTCTTTTGAAATGCTCTCTCACGGCTACGCGTATGCAACCACTGACAGGGAAGTCCTACTCATTGATTTCTCGTGGCGGGAGTGTTGTTTACGAAATTGAGAGGACAAGTAGTGAATGTCCGATACTTTAACCGGGTTGGTGGATGTGGGGGATTCACCTAGAGGAGTAGGAGAACCCTGATTCTAAACCGATGGTGCACATGTGTTCCACAATCCTGAGCGAACAAATGATGTATGAACCAATCGTTGGTCACTGGCTACCGTGGAACTGCATCTCCTTACGTTGCTCCACTGCCCTGTTGATTAGACCTTTAGGTTGAAGGCTCCGGGTGTAACCTAATAAAGTCACTTGTTTCTGTCTGGGGACCCGGGTATTATCACAAGCCACACATAGAAATAGAAATAAATAATGATTATTTTATTAAAGTCATTGTAATTTTTATTTATATTAAAACCATATTTCATTGTTGATTTATAGCATGTTAAAACAGCTGATTACAACTCGTTTAATGGTAAAAGATTCAATCAAATTGTATAAAACAAATAAGGTAATGGTTACTATTCATTATGGTTCAATACTTTATTTTAACTTATAAGGAGTAGTAGTAGGTTAACACCTATGCGCTTTAACTGTGACAAACATCTTCAGGAAGTGGCAATAATTTTGAATTTGATAATACTTTTCAGTATGTAAACTTAAGAACTTTTGACGACTTAGTATCTATGGGAACAGTCGTGTGTTTTTATGTTCCTTGATGAATGTAATTTAATAGTTGAATTCATCAATCACTTGAAGCTAGACTACTATCGAAAACCTGGAAGCACTGGGCGGCCGTTTCATCGTAGTATGAGACACCTCAGCAGTGCGCATTCACAATTCTGGCCGTGGGATTCGAAACCAGAACCATATAGTGATCTGTTTTTCATTGATTCATGAATATAACTATTAGATTACTAATGATATAGACAAAACCCCTTCCTGTTTATAATAAGTAACTTACAAGTTATCGATTTCCGAATAAATTTATTCTTTTTGTAAATTGTACTGTAGTACAATAGAAGAACTTCAATGAGTCTTATAGCTAAAAGGAATTAAGAACAATTGAAACTTTTCGAAATACTTTAGTTTGAATAAGATTTGAAAGATTCCTTCAACATGTAAACAGAATGTCGTCTACAAATTATGCTCTGATTTATTCTTAATTGGTGAATTTTGTCTTGAAATGTTGATTCATGTCAAGTAAACATGGTAAACGTCATATTAGATACTTTCAGATAATCCAATAAGACTTGAAAATATATAAATCAGCGATAAAAGTGGACTGAGCCATGTTGGTATGTGTAGACTATCTGGTTGCGAACCGCGAGATGATAGCAACCGACGGTTAGAAACCTTGGATGACATGGCTCAAAATTGTTTGCAATGGTGTGCGCAGGTGCATCCACTCTTTGTGTTCTCCCTAATTCTAATCTTCGGAATTCTTCATGTTCCTTCTTTTTTTCTCTTTCCAAATTTATTTCATTGGATTATACTCTTTAAATAACATCTTCAAACCCTAATCTTTCCGATTTCTGCTTATATTCTTACCGCCTCTACCACTACGGGATTTGAGTCGACAACTGCATCTCTATGTTAATATGGTATGACAACTTGGACTGACGTACGTACGTACGAAGTTCTACGTTGTTACTGACTGACTGACAACCATCGAATGAATATTAAAGGAAGCCTTTTTCCAACTATGCAGAAATTTATGACGAGATGTTCAATTTTTGTTGCTAATACTCAATCTTCCAATACGGGAACCCGATTAGCTACTTGAATAAAACGTATGAAATTGAGAAGGAAGTTTATTGATTGAACAAAAATGGAAATGTACCATATTATTGATGTATGTCCTATACTATTTCGTTGTTAGTCACATGGATTTATCATTCAGCTGATTTCTGATTAACTCAATGTATCATAAAGCAGTTTATTGTTAAAGCAGAGACTAACCCTTGAAAATGGACAAATTTCAGTTTATTGATTAGTTTAGATATCTGTTTGTTTAATTATATCAAACCTTCATTGTATTACGAATTCATCCCTTTAATTCATGACATTCACAATATAACTCAAAATTTTGATAACCGAAGCTGTTTTCGATTATTTAATTAGATCTTTTCTTTAGAATGATCTAAAATTATGAACATAGTTTTCCAATCTACCTCTTGAAGTCAGTGTAGATGCACATACATATGACGAAATTTATGGACTGTTGGCCTGATCTCTAAATAAACTAAATGTCAGTAGTAGTAGTAGTAGTTAGTCGTGTCAAAGTCCCTATAATAGTAACTGTTGGGAAGAGATCCAAAGTATTTCTTGATAAAGTCCAAAGGGGTCCTAAAAACTCTGGAAAACGTTTTATCCAATCAGTGTTGAATAGAAGTTACTTAGAAGTGTCTAGAAAGTGGAGAGTCATGTGTCACGTTTGTGATTGATTGATTACCTGTCTGCTACTATGTTTAGTATGACTCCAGAACCTTTCGGAAGCCCAAGGCTATCTATGGTACTATACATACACTCGACTTTCCTTACATAGACTAAGTTTTCATGTAGATTTAGACTGGAGTTATTAGAAGAATTCAAGAAATCGATTCAAGCGTTTACTTAGAAGACTTATCAAAACCATTTGTTCATCGATATTCCGATCAGGTGAGATCAGATTTCCTAAAAACCAAATGGGGCATTCAAGTTGCATTGTGAGTTATTACGACTGTTGTTTTGAGAAGAAAGTCTGGTAATGGACATGTTAATTGTCCATTATGCAAAATGTCAATAATTGAATCACTTAACTATTTACAAATAGGAAACGATTTTGAAATACTGAAACTGATTCTCTGGGCTCGATGCAGACTAAAAGATATAACACCTAAATTAAGACAAATGTAACATTGTCTAAAAAAACACAACAAATATTAATTTCAGTAGTTGAGATCATGAATCGGTTGAAGTTAGACCACCATACAAGACCTGGAAGCACTGGGCAGCCATTTCGTCCTATTGTGGGAATGCTAAGCAGTGCGCATCCACGACCCCGCCTTGCGGGATCCGAACCTAGGACCTATTGGTTTTATTCACTAAACAAAGGCTCTCACAGTCATTCTTCTTAATAAATACCATTAATTGAAGTTAACCATCGTAATCACTTTGGCAACCAACTACTTATTTGTTCCACCTTAACAATATTCCATCATACAACACTGATTCCAGCATCTTTCGGTTTCTCAAACAACTGTTTATTCTTATTATACAAAGTGAATTCTATTTGTAATTGTGCTTTCTTTGTCTTGTTCCTTATTCATGCTTACTCTGTTTTTTCCCTACCTAACAACATATTTATAGTGTTTGAACAGATTATTAGATGCACGACAGCTCGGATTAAAATTAATGGCCAATGTGATATATGGTTATACCGCGGCAAGTTTTTCTGGACGTATGCCATGTGTAGACGTAAGCTAATCTCGATAGTATTTTTAAGATAAAAATGTCGAGTCAGTTTTTTTTGGTAACTTTACCGCCAATTCATTTCATCAGTTGTATAATTTGTCTTCGCTATCATATTTTCTTGTTTCATTTAATATTGAATAGTCGTTGTTCAATCTTCACTGACGGCTTAATTTCATCAATCAAGCTTAGATTATGCTTTCATTTTTGGTTTATGTTGGCTAATTGAAGAAAATCTATGAAATGTTATTTATTTATTTAAACACATGAACATTGGTACAAGGAGGCATAAAACTTATATACGCCACACAAATGATTCAATTTGTGTACGGGCTGGAATACTACGAAGGCGCCTAAACCGAAGCAAGTGGTTTTCTTAAAGTGCCACTGCCCGAGTCTTCGATTTAGAAGTTTAATCCATAAGACAATCAAGCAACGTTAGGAGATGCAGTCTCGTGCTATCCGATGAACTTGAATATAGACTCATTCCCTATGTTTTTGTGATTGCAAAATAATAAATAAAAACCTTCGACTAAATTTGAACGAATAGGTTCACAATCTTTGGGCGCCGAGTTAATGTGAGACATCGAAGAGGAAGAATGTATTTGTAAAGTCTCAGCGAAAGAATTTGAAGTAAATCCAACGTTTCACCTGGCAATCTGGTCCAAGCTTTTTCAAATTCTTTCGCTGAGATTTTACAAATATATTCTTCCTCTTTAATGTCATTCACCATTTGTTCACTCAGGATCGTGGTTTGGAATGAGGGTTTTCCAACTCCCACAAGTGGATTGTCCATATCCATGAAGCCAGTTAAAGCGACGAACATTCGCTTTTCATTCTCTCAATTTCATAGACAACACCCCTGACGTGAGAAGATACTTTACACTATCACCTGTTCAATGATTATCAAAATTCATGCATCCAGGTAAACTCGTAGATGCACATCGAAGAGGTAAACTCGAGTAACTTATCCTTTGTTCTAGTAGACATGACTAGAAAATACTGACGTAAGAATAGCTGTGTGAAATGTCCTTTTAATTAGTCTCATAAATCTATCATTCAGGATATCGCTAGTTATATCCCTGTTGAATGTCAGTTCAGCTGTCTCATCAATTTTTTTCTTTAATTGAGGGCACAATGAACGTTGACTGTAGTTCTTTAACACTATTCTCAAGGAAGCCAGTGTTGATTTGAATTTCCTATATTTTCTTGCAAATGAACTCGATTGTCTCGACTAGAGTGATTCGTTGGTGAATAAAAATATGATATCAAGAGAGATTATATGATTTCTACTGATATTCACATTTACTTAGGAATAATTTCAAAAATGCCTTTGACGTTGATGTGCGCCATATATAAAAAGTCCGTATTCCTTAAGCTACACTTAAACACGAATGTGTAGCAAACAATATCATGGATGATAAAGTCGTGAGACTAATTAAAAGAACATTTTACACAGCTAATCTTACATCGATATTTTCCTGTCATCTTTACTTGAACAAAGTATCAGTTACTGGAGTTGCTCCTGTGAAGGCAGCTATATTAAGCATACTACCAAGCTATCCAACCAGTGAATGAGTGATTACATCCTCGAGTGGTTTGAAAACAGTTAGATGGAATCACAGTATAATTCTATCTTAGGACAACCATCAACAAGTGATTATTTGGTATATAGAACCAGATAATTTCGCGAGGTCTATCGTATACCTTCATCATTTCTCGTTAGGTTTCAATCTCATCTTCTAAGTATATCAGCATGTATTTCTTTATCCCATCAAAAATAAGCTATTCAATACAGACGTTTCCTTTGTATTTTTAGAAGTCAGTTGTATAGAGTTTTTACTCAATATTCACTTCGTCAACTAAGAATTAGTACTGTGTAACTGTGTATTTAGATGCCATATTATGTGTAATCAATATCTCTTGTTGTTACTTTTGTTTATCATGAAATAGTTACTTACTTACGCCTGTTACTCCCCGTGAAGGAGCATAGGCCGCTCACTAGCATTCTCCATTCAACCCTGTCCTGGGGAATCCTTTCCAGCTCCTTCCAGTCCCTATTGATCCTTTTCATATCTGCTTCTATTTCCCGACGTAATGTGTTCTTTGGCCTTCCTCTTTTACATTATTGTTGTTATAGTCGTTCATTAACTGTTCCTCGATTTGGATAATCTAATGAGAAGACGAAAATTATCAAAACCTTTCAGAATTTGATTATTACTATTTCACTTGATTAATTTTTAGCTTGGTGATAGTATTGTGCATAAAGCCAGAGAAATTTTAGAAAATGCTATTGAACTGGTTAACAGTGGCAAGATTGTATTACCAGATAATTGTAACGGTCTTCCAACACCACGAGTAGTCTACGGTGATACGGATAGTTTATTTATACACCTTAAAGGTTATGGTAAATCAGAAGCATTCGATGCTGCATATCAAATTGCCAAAGAAGTAACATCAATGAATCCGGTACCCATTAAATTAAAACTTGAAAAGGTTTGTTTTTTTTCTTTCCATTGACATTTTCTAAATTGGCTACTTAACTACTGGCAAATTATTAGTAGTTTGATATTTCCTACGAAAGTAATGGTTTGTCACCGATTATTAGTAATAGCTTTTCGGTAATATCTCTCTCTGTTTTGCATCTTTTGGACATGTTATTGTTATATTTTAAGAGGTTATGTGTAAGACTACCTGGAAAATTGTTTTCGTAATGATATATCAACTTGTCAGCTCATGTTATACTGCACAATCTAGTGGAAAGCGTAAATCATTCATACGTTGACAGGTATTTGTTTGAATAGAATAGGTTTATGTGTGAAGAAGAAAGTGTCTGTCATAAATTATATTCACCAATAATTAGGTAAAAGTTAACTTATTCAAGGTGTATAAACAGTTTGCCATGGTACTTGATCTCGTCGAAACTTACTACTTACTCGAATACCGTTTATTTAGTGTTTGCAATTCGCTGTTGAAAATTCACTTATGATCAATATCCATCATGGACACTCGTCTATTCCTTAGTCTTGCCTTCTGATCATTATAATCACTGTTTAATGGGTATTCTAGTATCTTACTGGTACAATACGTGATATAAATAGGCCAAATGGACCAACTTCGACCATATCGCAATTTCCTCAGCAAATTATCAAGTGGGATTCACTCCCTGAATAATGAAATAACCCAACATGGTCATCAACATCATTCTTCATATTTTAACTGGTTATCAGTATATAATATTAATCGAGACATCATTTGAGAATTAACGTGTATAACACCCAAATGCCATCGTTTTCGTTTAGTTTGTTCATAAATCCCCTGTATTCTGTAAATTTCTCCATCTAATTGAACCGTGTTTTTCAACTTTAGCTAGAAATAACTAATCGATATTGGATGCCAATAAATATGCTTGTGTTCTAATGAATAATAATTCTTGTGTAGTTAACGTACTGTCGATAACATTTTCGTAAAGAAATATACACTGTGACTATTGTCCAATGTATAGTCACTTAGTTATTTATGTCATTGGTAATATTCTTTCAATACATCAATCAACCTTATATTCATAGAATAATCTTCTTGATTGAAGTATTCATGGGAAAAGATACTTGATTTCTATGTGTTTTCTTTGTTTTGTTTGATACATACTATAAATAATTCCACTTTCAGATTTATTATCCATGTTTATTAGAAGCAAAGAAACGATATGTTGGTTATGCTTATGAAACTGTTGAACAAAATGAACCAATATTTGATGCAAAAGGAATTGAAACTGTAAGACGTGATAGTTGTCCATTTGTAGGACAAGTAAGTGAATATTTGATTTGATTATTTCCATAGGTTTTCATTGAATGTTGAGATCTCTGTACGGTTGAATTTCCGACTATCCAAGACCTACCTCAATAGGACTGTGTTATAGAAGAAAGCTCTATAAACGCGGCGAAATTAGAACATAGCATCCATCCATAAAATAATTAACTGTTGATCTAAGCCATGTTAATTTATTCAGATTATCTGGTTGTAGTCCTCATTGTAACCGTAATCAGTGCTTAGAGATGTTAGATAGTATGCTTCGATAGTATTTGTTCTTTATCGTCCGATATTCTTTCATACATACGTTTTCACTTTGTCTTTCTGAATATAATTCTTAATGTTCAGTCATGTTTACCACCATATTTCAACTCTTGGATTAACTCATATTTATGCTCGAGTCGCTGTTAATTCTATCTGATTGAGAATCTGAAACAAATGTAAATCGTCTCTCAATTATGACACTTGGTTATCGTAGCAAGAGAAAGAAATGAATAAGTGAAAAACAAACGTTATTGGTCTGGATATTAAATATTATTTAGGATAGTTATGAGTGGAATCCGACCCTTTTACTTCTACCTGAAGTTTGTGCTGATAATGTCGTTTAGAAGAACGCTGAAAGCTCTACAACCAAACCATCTAGCTAAGAGATCAAAACTCCATCAAAATCATCCACTTGAGCTACAAATCTTCACCATTCCTTTACCATATATGAGACCTGGGACAACAACTCTTGTACAATAGTCATTGATACTTATTATCCAGAATCAAATCTTTTGCCTGCAATTCATTAGATGAAAGTCATAAGTTCAAATTAAATCAGTCTTTCTATTTACAATTGTCGATAAAATAAATTTACAAGTTGTTCGTTAGGTGAATCAGAAATTTGTATGACATGAAAGATCTTCATATTCACTTGATATTGTTATTTTGAACTGCAATTGATCAGTGTCTTGTTGACATATGTGCATCCTGTGCGAACTGTCTTAATAATGCTTGAAGTCAAAAGCTTTATAAACAACGATGATGAGTCCTAAATAGGACGAAACGTGCCTTTTGGATTCCACTGTTAACTACTATCTATCTTTTCTTATAATCTACATATTCTATAGTCTTGCTTAATAGAAAGGACTATCCCTTGTTAATATAATCTTTAATGTATTAGATAAGAATTATGCATTGTGTAATTCTATTGAATTGTAGGTTCTTGAAGAATCTTTTAAACTTCTATTTAATCATTTCACTATACCAAATTGTTTGAAAAATGTAGAAGGGAATTTCTATAAAGATAAAGGTATGTATCTTTTATATGTAATAGATCTATCTAATATAATTCATAGCAGTTCATTAAATCAAAGTATACTATACTGACTATCTTGAATGATTTATCAACCAATTAGGAAATATTGCATAATGATGAGAAAATGAACTATTAAAAGCAATTTTTATTACGAAGGGCATAATAGCATGATCTTGAATAATCCACTGTCATATATTGAATTATTCTTTATTATGAAATATTGCTTTTTAAGAGTTGGACTAATGCAAATCAATCGAGCTTATCATCTCATATAGTTTTCGTTACCGATTGACATTAACAATAATAATGCTAAGTGGTTAAGATTATTTATTCAGAGTTAAGCTGCAGCTATGAGTTTGATTTACATTTATCTTATTTTATTTAAGTACATAAACATTATGTACAAGGATTTACAAAACAGATATACACCACCTAAATCATCTGATTTCTGTGAGGGATGGGATACTGCCTAGGTGCCCAAACCAAAGCAGGTGGTTTTCTTAGAGGGGCATACTCGGAGCCTTAGACCTGAAGGTGTGATCCATAAGGCAGTACAGCAACGTCAAGAGATCCAGTGTCATGGTAGTCGGTGACCAATACTTAGTTCATACACCATTTGTTTGCTTAGGATGCTGAAACACGTGTTCACCATTATTTTGGAATCAGAATTTTCCAACTCCCTTAGATGGATTCTTTATATCCACAATCCCGGTTAAAGCGCTGGATATGTATATGGTATAAAAAGCCTCCAAATGCCCTCGTACGAGCAAGGGTGGGGATAGTCCGCTCTCCCTCTCCAAATGCTCTCACATGGCCAAATGCATACAATCACCACCAGGGAAGTCCTACTCATTGACTCCCCGCGGCGGGAGTGTTGTTTACGAAGATGGGAGGATGAAAAGCGAACATCCAGCACTTTAATCGGGATGGTGGATATAAAGAATCCACCTAAGGGATTTGGAAAATTCTGATTCCAAAATAATGGTGCACATGTGTCCCAACATCTTGAGCAAACAAGTGGTGTATGAACTAATTGTTGGTCACCGGGTTCTATGAAACTGCATCCCTTGACGTTGCTCTACTGCCTTGTGGATCAGGCCTTTAGGTCAAAGGCTCCGAGTATGCCCGTCTAAGAAAACTACCTGCTTTGGTTTGGGAAGTATCACAGCTCACACAAAAATGAAGTGACTTATGTTGCGCATATGTATTCGGTGTTCTTTTGTACCAATATTTATGTGCTTAAATAACTAAATAGATTCCATTAATAACAACATAAACTGAAAAGAAATTTTGTACGTACTCGTTTTCGATAAAAATACTTTGATATCATCAAATGGAATTTGTTCTACTGTCTATCTGATAACTCTTTATCAGTGTTTACAATTGTTAAATGTCAAATTTGGATAGTTATTTGTATACATTATATCTCAATTAAACATTTTTTGTTCTTAACCACAATAAACAGAGTTTACTGAAGTGCGAATACAATCAATTGTATGTATGCTTAAGCTGTTATCAATGTGTCTACGTCATCCAGCTGATGATGACTTTAATATTTGAACGAAACACATAGACAGTCATTCATATCAAGATATATCTATTGTGTAGTGATATATACTACTAATTCATTTATTCTCTTATGTTTTTTTTAATAGTTGAAATCATGAGTTAATTGAAGCTAGACCACTATAGAAAACCTGGAAGCAGAAGACAGCCGTTTCGTCCTAGTATGAAACTCCTCAACAGTGTGCATCCACCATCCTACCTCGCGCGTACTTCCAGGTTTTTGATGACGGTCTAGTTTCGATTGACTTATGAATTCAATTATTAAAATTTTTTCTTTACCTTAATTGATTTATGTGTATAATTGAATTTAGTTAATCAACCTTATGAACATTTGGATAAAGTATTAAAACTTGCTGAAAATAATCTAAGAAATAAAATTCAACATTTTGCCTATCTTCTTATACATGGAAGAATACCATTTTATAAATGTATTATTACTAGACCATATTGGGGATTATCTTCTTATAAACCGGGAACATTTGCACCAGCATTACAAGTTGCCAAGTAAGAATTTATATAATTTTGTTGATAATGTAATCTTTTCATTTTGTTCAAATGTCTACTGATGATAATGACTATGGAAGATGTGTGTTGATTGTGGAGATAGTAGGAATCATAAGTTAAATAGCATAACTATACAATTCGCTGGAAAGATGATTCTATAACATCAAAAGATTGTGAACCTGAGATTAAGTGATTGCATTGAACAGAATGACTGTTCACAATTTAGTGTTAATGAAGAAAAAACACACAATTTAAACCGTTGATTATTCAATTATAAAGTCTCCTGTTTATATTTCTATAATGGGTATGTCTAAATAAGCAAATTTATGGACTGTTGATATTCACAGTTATATGGGTCGGAGTAATTTAACATTAGTTTTCAGGAGAACCAGACACCATCCGGACTTTCACGTGACAACCCAAACAGTACAGCTCAACCCCGTTTAACAGGAGAACCAGACACCGTATCGGCTTTAACGCTACAATCTGAATAGTACAGCTCAATTCTGTGGCGCAACCACACAGTTACAAGCACCCTGGTGGACTAACTGTTGATATTATCTCAAACATTTGTTGAGTACTATTTGGTATTAATACTGCTATGTTCAAAACAATTACGAGTTCATCTAGTCTGAGTATGGAACAATGACTCTGTAACCAAAGACCAATAAACTAGCTATTCTGATACATCCCAGTCTCGCTAACTAGAGAGAGAAGTCCAAGTTCAAAATGGAGAAATATATTCCACAAGTGGCCAGAAGCACGAGCATTAACAACAGGCACAAATCAAACGTATACATACAGCATAAAATTGTCCTTGGGAAGCGTTACGAAATGGCATACTAAAAGATACAATAAACCAATAGTGTTTAAGATTCTCCCAAATGGAGAATACGACATGAAGGTGAAAAGAGCACTTTTGGCGGGAAAACAAAAAAATTCAAATTTTCGAAATAGAATTACAAAATTTGGACCTTTTCCAAGTTAGTTCTGGGGATCTAACAACCCCAACAAATACCAATAGATGAACTACTTGTCTGTTCAGTTTTGCTTGCTTATCTTCTACACTCCTTTTTCTTATCTTTTATACGTACATATACCTTTCTTTTCCGATTGTGTTGTCTAGACGTCTTCTTTCTATGGATCCACGAGGTGAACCATTGCGTGGTGAACGTGTTGTTTATTACGTAACAGCTGGAAGATCTGATCAAACTTTATTATCATGTGTTCGAAGTGTACATGAAATTTATCCTTCTTTATGGATTACTGGGAAATCCACTTTATCACGTCGTGTCCTAGGACCACGTTTAAATTATGCTTATTATTTAGATAAACAATTTATACCTCCAATTGAAAGAATGACACAAGTTATTGGTTGGCGTGTTCGAACTTGGTTAGTTCATGTGTTATAAGGAATTCTTTACAAATATTTTCATGATTTTGTATTTTTCATAAACTACTTAATATATCCTTTTCAGAAATCTTCATATCTATTCACAGTACATTTGTATATTATAAGAATGTACTTGAAGAGACTCCCTAAACTGAACGGGAAATATAAATCAACATATACCACTTATTTCTTTGTTCATTCATCAACTGCTAACAATCCGTTCTAATTGATCATTTAAATTACAGGAGCTATTCAACATATTTTAATTCATGAATGCTCATTGAAACAAAAATAATCTTTCCAGTAGTATTTGTCATTTGATTTGTGTGTGAGCTGTGATACTGCGTAAACTCGGAACCTTCGACCTAAAAGTCTGATCCAGAAGGCAGTAGAGCAACGTCAGGAGATGCAGTCCTATTGTAGCCGGTGACTAACAATAGATTCGTAATCCGCTTGCTCTGTCTTAGGATCCATTAACACATGTGCCAATTGGAGTTTCTCATCTCCCCCAGGTGGACTCACCGTGTCCACCAGCCCGGTCAAAGCGCCAGTCATTCGCTTTTCATCCTCTCACTTTCGTACATAACAGTAATACGGCGAGAAGGCGGTGAGTAGAGCTTTCTAGACAGTGGCTGTATACACATGTCCATGTAATAGCATTTGGTGATGGAGAGCTGACTCTCCCCATCCTCGACTGAACCATGGAATTTGTAGGCATATTTATTTGGTGCACCTTTGTACCAATATTTATGTGTTCAAATAAATATATAATAAATTCATAACGAAAAAGCCAATAACAGTGATATGAGTAATTAGAGATCCTCATAAGATGACAAGAACTTATGATCTTTCACTGATTAGTAATTGCTTTTGCATCATTAACCTTTTTTTTTTCCTATTTTTGTTCATATTATAGGTTATCAGAACTTCCTCGTTACTTCACTTCTAAACATCATCGATATATTTTAACCTCCGAACCGTCTCATGTTTATCCTTCAAGACATCAACATCAATTCACTAATCTAGGTTCACCATCTTCATCATTTATTTTATCTCCTAATTCATCACAGATTGATTTAATTTCACAAAATCAACGTAAACATCTTTATCGTCCTTCATCAGTTATGCGTGCTTTTGTTGGTCAACCACCACGAATTTGTCCTAGTTGTGAAACATTAATACCAAATACTAGTTTTACTGATCAATTAGGTCATTGTAGAACTTGTATTGATGGTAATTCACGATTAATAAATATTGGAACTATAAAATTTGGTTGTAATGTAAGTGTTTTATTATTTAAATCGTTTAAATTGTTACCTGTTCATTACTTAAATATGATGACATTATAGAATAGATTACGTAATAATAGCCCCCAAAATGCTCTGGTATAGCTGAGAGTGGGGTGGTCTCGCCCTCTCTCTCGAAATGCTCTCACACGGCCACGCGTATACAGCCACTGCCAAGGAAGTCCTACTCACTGCCTTCTCGTGGCGGTGTTGTTTACGAAAATGAGAGGTCAAAAAGCGAATGTCCGGCGGTTTAATCGAATTGGTGGATTCAAAGGATCTACTTAGGGAAGTTGGAAAACTTTGATTCTAAACCAATGGCGAACATGGGCTCCAGTATACTGAAGGAAGAAATGGTGTATGAACCAATTGTTGGTCACCGGTTAACATGGGACTACGTCTCTTGACGTTGCTTCACTATCTTGTGGATCAGTTCTTTAGATCGAAGGCTACGGGTGTGAGTTACTGAGAAAACCACCTGCTTCGGTTTGGGCATCCGGGCAGTATCATAGCCCACACGAAATCAGATGATGTACATGGCGCACATGTATTAGGTGCCCCTTTGTACCAGTATTTATTTACATCTTTGCTACACCATGCTGATGTATGTTTATCTCTAACGAAATTCTTCTATGCATATATTCTCAATCCACATTGTAATTTCCATTCTGCAAAAAAATACGGTTTGTGTACGATAGTGGACAGAAACTTAATGTAATAATGGGAATGTACATTATTCTGTTTGAATCTTTGTACATGCTTTCGTCAAGAAAAGTGATTCAAATCCTGAAATTCGAGTTATTCACTTTCGATCTAATGACTTGATGGTAATATGAACATTAGAACTTACTTGCTTACTTACTTACGTCTGTTCCCTCTAGTAGAGGAGCATTGATCTCCCACCGAGATTCTCCAAACAACTCTATACTGGACAATCTTTTCCAATTATTATTCATCCGTTTCATATCTGCCTCCAGTTCCCGATATATTGTGTTCTTTGATGTTCCTCTTTTCTGTTTCCCCTCAGGATTCCAAATTAGGGCTTGCTTCGTAATACAGTTTATTGATTTTCCAATTCTATTGTATTTAAAGAAAAAAAGAATGCCGAGTGTATAATTTTTAAATGTTTCAGTATAAAAAGTAACAATTATATTTCTACAGTTGAGATAATGAGTCAATTGAAGTTAGACCATCATGGAGAACCTGGGAGCACTGGACGGCCGTTTCGTCCCATTGTGGGACTCCTGAGCAGTTCGCACTACGATCCCGCCCCTCGCGAGACTCGAACCCAGAACCTATCAGTCTCGCGCCAGGCGCCTAACCAACTAGACCGCTGAGCCGGCATGCAACGGTGTTAATGTCTAACTTCAACCAATCCACGAAGCTGCGCCACCGTATACCATTGTGTTCAATGAGTTACTATCTCATAACAGACCTGGTTGAACTCCACTGGTAACGACTTCTCAACTAGAACTCCAGGAGTATCTCTTGAAGTCAGTCATTAGTGAGACCGATAGGTCCTGGGTTCGAATCTCGTGGAGGGTGGGATCGTGGATACACACTTCTCAGGAGTCCCATACTATGACGAAACAGCCGTCCAGTGGTTCCAGATTTTCCATGGGTGATCTAGCTTCAATTGACTCATGATTTCAATCAGTAAAATTTCTAAAATCGCCACAAAATCCCTTCTGTTACTAATTATATTTCTACTTGCATTTTCATTTATTTCGTTGTAGATTCATCATGTACAATCCCATTTAAATCATTTAGAGACAATATGTTCATATTGTACAATCCATCATGGTATTACATGTGATCCTATATGGTTATGTAATAATTTTTTTTGTCCAATCCATAGTCAACGTTTAATTGCTTCAACTGATTTAGCTTTATTTTGGACACATTATAATAGATGTTTAAAACATATGGATACTATTAATTCATGGTAATATCATAAACAATGGAATGAGATCAATTGAAATCATTTGTGATTCTCTTTCTGTACCCCCGTCACCACCACAACCACCACCACTTTCTCTCCTTCCCTCTCTTTTTGTGTGTGTATGTATATGTGTGTGCATATATATGGTAATGTTTACTTTATAACTTCTTTTGTTCAATGTGTCTTTTATTGATATGTGTACATTGTGATCTCTGTCATTTTCTTTCTTTCTTTTTTTTGACAAGATAAGTATCCATTTATTTATTGTCAATGATCTAATGATTCACATATAAATTGATCATGAAGTGATATGTCTTTTGACTGAACGTTAGATTCGGCTCTTAAGCTCTGCTAGTAATCCCGAAAGACAATGACGACGACAATTCTGTATGTTGATTGTTCTAAATAGTTACAGTGATTCTCGTTCAGTTACTGGCTGACTTTGGTTCTTTTTTTTTCAACCCATCGTCACTGTTTTTAATCATAGAAGTGTCATGTTTTAAGTTCACTTTTTGTAGCGTTATTATTTGGATATTGTTTAATTTTACTGATGATTCTGGTTCTGATGTCGGCATCTTCAGGTGACTGCAAGCTGTATATAAAACAAGAGATTTAAACTAATCTTCTGTCATTGTTGATAATTTGAAACGTTCACATTGACGATTTATTATGCCAGTATGTTTCACCTAGTCATTGTCTCCAGCTTTTGCCAACTTAAACGTAGGGATTTTCAAATATTCTTCCAAAAGATGATTAGATGGAATATCTTCGACTGTTTTTGAGCTTTTTAGAGCTTCCTCGAGTTCACCGGTGGACCGTCTTGACATGAAGTATCCTCTAATGTTTTAAAAGTCTGATTGGTCTTCTTTGATAGGATTAGCGGATCATATTATTTTTATCGGATCACTTGTTCGTTGAGATCTTATAATATTTAAGTTAGCTGAAATGCAATCAGCTTGATTTCAGGTTCAGTGATGAAGACCTACTCTTAAATTTTCTGTACAGTAAAGTACTTTACACGTAATTACTCTGAGAATTTCTTATGCCGATGATACTTTTTAAAAAGTCTACATCCAAGACTAAGAATTAAATATGGTTATTAAAAAAACTGTTCTACGATGCCTGACAAGTTGTTATCTATGCTATGTAATGATAATACCACAATTGATTGATCACTGGGTGGTGATCAATGTCATGTGTGTCAAGTCCATATTTAGTGCAGGTGGTTTTCTTAGGGGTCTGTCGGGCACGTTAGATCCCCAAAACTCATATTTTGTAATTTTATCTTTATGGAGCTTGTATACAGATGTATGCTTGGGCATTTTTTACCGCCCACGCACATGGTCGATTGACGAACTTATCGACTAAATGTTTAAAAACTTCCATGGCAATATGGATTATATATATTTTGTATAAATACGCTTGATTTGTGTGCTTGATTGACCTGGTATCTTTTGGTTGCCTGTAGAATACACTTTCTACATCTTGCCAAGACTTCTGGATCGAGTTAGCTGAGTCGGGGACAACGGACCAGTATAGCCTATCGAATCTCTGGTTGTTGGATTCTTCATTCCGTTCCGAGTAAGACGAATCAGTAGTAGCATTCAAGTTTAACGAACATAACAGTAATGATAATACCTTTAGATTAACGATATGATTAATACAAATTCAGATTGCTACTTTGTGAGGAGCTAAGAAGTGTCAGTCACCTGAATATCAATCAGGTTATCTTATTGAAACCACCATTGATCTCATTTCGTGTCTCCTAGATATTCGTCTATGTACTGCCAATGCCTATTAAATTTTAACTCTAATCTTCAGGAATCTTCTTTCAATCGACTGCGAGATTCTGACGCTTGAACTCTGTTATATTTAATGTTAATCTGTTCAGCGAAACTTGGGATTGTATCCCTCCCTATTAGATCAGGTTGTCAATCATATTAAGCTTACTTCACTTATCCTTATTAAATATTTAGATAACACAAATACTTGTAATAATATTAGTGTAGATACTTAACTAGGTTCGAAAACAGAACATACACTTCTGAATTACGTCTCACCTAGTAAAAGCTTGCACACTTTCAGATTGAATGTTTCTGTGAAAATTCGTAATATCATTAATCTCAAATAAGTCGTTAGTTCATTCGACAACTTCCCAGATGAGTGCTAACTAGCTTAATGGTTTTAAACATGGAGTCAGTCAGTCAGCTACAACGTAAGACCAGGCACATATATGCGTCGGTCCAAGTTGCCATACCTCATTAACACAAGATGAACACCGGATTCATAAATGTAGTTAAATCAATGGTGGTAATATGCAAAAGAAAGATTGCATATAAGAACATGGTACAAGAAGAAAGAATTAGTTTATAGAAAGAAAGATATGAAGTGATTTTAATCTCATAGTTTAAGGGAAAACAGAGAGTGTATACACTTACGCCATTGTGATCGATTCTGAGCCATGTCATCAAGAGTCAGTAACCACTGGTTACGATAGTCACACGTACCCTAACCAAGTAGTGTGCATCTACCAAGATGGTTCAGACTAGAAGTTAGTGACTTCAAGCACTGATGCCATGTTTTGGTTTGGCCGCCCAATAACTTTCTTCCAACTGTCTCCAACACCAGTCAGTATTGCGCGTCGTGGTAATCGGTGTTCAGGCATATGCAACACGTGGCCCAGCCATCTCAGTCGATGGAGATTGACAAACACATCAACTGATTTACCATCATTCCCTAATACCCTACGTCTAACCTCACTATTACTTAACCGGCGATCCTAGAACATGTGAGAAATAGTTCTAAGACATCTGTGGTCAAATATTAGTAGCTTACGAGTATATTCAAAACTGTAAGGCAAATCGTTTTAATTAACAAACTTCTGTTCATCTGTTAAAGTTTCTAGTGAACATTAAACCTGTGAGATATCCAATTGTAAATTCTATCATTTAATTTAAAATTACTTACTTTTACCTGTTACTCTCAATGGAGCATAGACCGCCAACCAGCATTCTAAAACCCACTCTGTCCTGGGTCTTACTTTCTAATTTGAAATTAGATATAATATATTCTTTTAAAAACTTTGTGCATAATGTATATATGATACAATAGTTAATGAGAGTTCTTATAAACTTCTGTGATTACCCCATCTATTGTAACCGAACCGTGTGTCATTATATCAGCGATGTTTCTATAGTTTGTTGAACTTCTGAAGAATGTTTAAAATGATGCTGTCGATGCTGGAATCCACGATACGCATTTCGTTCTCTTCAGAACTTGTCGAATGGATGTATTTCCAACTGAAAGCTAACGTTCACTCCTGAACTCGGATCTAGTACTGTTCACTTCAGATACCATCGCGTTATCCACTTAGTTGCTGAGCTCAGATACCCATACACTTGTGCAACAGCTGTAAAACTTAATTCGTTTTGAAATGGCTTATTTCAGAATGTTCTTGTCATCCAGCTGATGTTCTCATACTCATCATAGTCAAACTAATTTTATCATCATACCCTACATCCCATTTATTTAAGTGAAATAACCTATATGGAAGGTTTAACCGTTCGCCGTAAATTAATGAAGTTCTATGTATACAACAGTTTATGAAATTAACGGAGTTCATAGTCTACTACATTAAATTTATCAGTCTCATATCATCCCTAATTTGGATTAATTATAAGCAAAGATGGATAGTGGCTAGCAGTGGAATCGAGGATGCGCGTTTTGTCCTATTTAGGACTCGTCAACAGAATGTACCTGCATCCCAGTGTTGATGTTCATCTTTGATGTCTATCTTTGCTTATAATGTTTGTGAATTAAGGCAATACGCATAGTATGCACATATGCCAATGAGAGATTGATCAACTGCAGTCCTAAACGTCAATGGGAAGATCCAAGTGAATTTATTTGTGTTCATGAATATGATACAGTCTACTATGAATAGCAGTCCAATGTACATTTGTTATCTTGGTATAGCATAAAGGCTAGACAATCATACTTTACTGAAGACTTCAGTAAACAAACCATTTATACATTTTTAACTTACCTTTTCAAATAATAAGATCGTTTTATAATTACTATTGTCCGACCAATTCAGTAAACAAACTTAATCGACAAGTAAATAGTTTGCATAAATGAAAATGATGATAAGATTCTTATTAATGATAGAGTTATTGTTAATGTGGGAAATTAATCTTATCACCCTAATGGAATTTTCCAAATATCAATAGTCACGTTCCTCTATATTGAGCAATGAGTTACTTTCGTTTTAATCGACTTTCTAATGAATGATTTTTTCATTGATCGACGATCTTTGACCGACACTACAGTAACCATGAGAGTGTCTACCTGATAACTAGGACCAAATGAGGGTTATAAACCTGTGTGAGTAATTAGAATTATGATTTACAGTTGATGGTTAGGGTTAGGAATTACATTTACGGTTTTCATCATGAACTGACATCAGCAGCTATAATGCTAAGACGCTATTTAACCAAATGGATGAATGAAGTTCGCGCCAAAATCCAAAACCTGTTCTCTCATATCTGATTGGTTCGTCCATAAATTATAGTCTCGCCAACTTTCGATAACAACACAATATGACTCACTTTCGAACTCCTTCACTATGTAATCTAAGTAATATATTTATTAAAATTACTTACTTACTTACGCCTGTTACTCCTCGTGAAGGAGCATGGGCCGCTGACCAGCATTCTCCATCCAACCCTGTCCTGGGCAATCCTTTCTAGCTCTGTCCAGTTGTAATTCATCGTTTTCATATCTGCTTCTATTATCCGACGTAATGTGTTTTTAGGCCTTCCTCTTTTCCGTTTCCCTTCAGGATTCCAAGTTAGCGCTTGCCTCGTGATGCAGTTTGACGATTTGCGTAATGTATGTCCTATCCATTTCCATCGTCTTTTCCTAATTTCTTCAGCTGGAAGTTGGTTTGTTCTCTCCCACAGAAGGCTATTGCTGATGGTATCCGGTCAATGGATATTGAGTATCTTGCGTAGACAGCTTTTTATAAATACTTGTACTTTCTTGATTGTGGTTGTTGTAGTTCTCCAAGTTTCAGCTCCATACACTAGAACTGCCTTGACGTTG